ATAGGAGCTTCTTTCCGACGTTGAGAGGGCGTGAAATTATTTTCCTTGGAGTATGCAGATTAGGGGAGGGTTCCTGATTCGGGATTAGTTCCGGTTTACTTTTTATAGGATTCTGATGATAAATGTTACTATTGGATATGCTAACGGGTGGTGCGTGTAATATATCCAAATGAGCTTTTTTAAAAGGATTTTTGAAGTTATACATATTGCATGCCCATTGTTGCAAATCAACATGGCGGACAGTGAATTAGATTTATTTATGTAAAAAAATCTTTTTTTATATAAAAAACAACGCAATCATTATTTTTATAAATATAATATAAAAATAAACAGAAAAATGTTTATTTTATAATAAAGGTAAGTACTACAATGCTATTATTATATCCATAGCCCGAGTTGACAGGAAATTCAGTGTTTTCAAACTTCTATTAAGGTCTGCAATAAAGAATCTATTCTATATTAATAAAATTTAGTCACAACAATTGACGACCATTCGATTTCAACGACGCTTGCAATTTCTAACCATTTTACCATCAAAATATCCTGATAATTCAAAACATACATGGTGAAAATACAATATCATATTATTGCGCCAAGGTATAATCATGTTTTTCATTAAAATAATGCAATTTGAATACCATAATCGGTCTAAAAATAATCCGAATTATCTTAAATTACTCGTTCAAACGCATTCATGATGCGATACGATAATAAACATGTCGTCGCTCGCTATCGCTTGCTAGGTTCGGGAGACAGACAAAAAACGAGAAAAGTCACGGCGCAGACGGGAGGACGGACCGTCGCCTATCCCGAAATATGATTTATAGATTGGACGTCAAAGGCAATGCGCTTTCTATACGTCACGGGACGTGTCACCGCCGCGCAGGGGGAAGAAAAATACATTTTGTTTTAGACTCGCCAACCTACGTCGCGCATGCATTAAGCAATTTGAGTCGTTCGATTACACTACGTGTCGCTAATAATATAAAATAAATAAATATTAAATGAAACTAGTTTACGGATTTTATCGCGTTTTTTATTTTGATTTGAACTCCCGACGTTTCGAACCCTTTCCAGCGTTCATGGTCACGGGACAGACTAAGTTGTTATATGTCTTGATGTCATAGTTAACCTCGGCTACTGTCAATTATTTTGTTTATTTTTATCCGATTCAAACAAAACTAGTTTCACTTCATATGTATAATAAGGCCACGAATGGGCAGGCTCATCCGGGTAAGTACCACGACCTCACAGAAGGTAAAGTGGAAGTATAATACTTTCGCGTTTCATCTGGTGAGTGGGGTGCCCGGAGCCCAATTTTCAAAAGGTTGTCAACGCATCTGGAACCGTGTGTAGCAGATATCCATGGGCGGCGGTATTCACTCAACATCAGGTGAACCGTCGCTTGGCTCCTTTTCACATAAAAAAAAATATTCCCGTTAAATCAAGAAAACAATATAAAATAACTAAAAATATCTAAAAAAAAATATTTTTATTATTAGAAACCTATGTTCATAAAAGGTTCACAGAACATATAGGTATTACTACTATGTGCATTTATCATTCTACTACTATCTATTTATTACTTATACATATTTGTATAAGTAGTTGGCACAGTTATGATTTACGAAGGAATAGGCTTGTATTCTTTTCATTTGATATATTCCCGATAGGGCTACATTCCAAAACAAGTTTGTAACTTAGTAATCACAATAAGTTTGTAATAAAATAAAAAAAACTTATTGTTCCTAGCCTATTTCATCTATTCTTGCACAATTAGCAAATATAATCGCACAATAGCAATGGTAAACCACTTAAAGATCATCAGGTTTGCACAGTAGAGGTACGTGAAGGCGAATTAAATAATTATATTACCGCATTTAATTTATAGGTTTAAATATACACAGATTTCTTTTTACTTTCAAGCAAAATTTCTAAGAACCAATTACGGCACGTGTAAAGTAACTTACACAGCTGAATGAACTTCGTACGCAAAACCTGATTACACCCAAACAGAGGTCCGGTTCACAAAGAAACTTTGACACGTGACAACATTTGTTACATCAAATCGAACAATAATCGCTCATATTGTCAGTTACAATACAATTTGTTTGGAAAGTCGACGCGTGAGAGAAATAATAACAAATGATTCGCGCCCTAACACCGCCTGGCGTTGAAAGATCACGCCTATTGCTCTCTTGTTGATGAAAAAACAAAAACATTATTGCACAAGATACCAATTTAATATTTGATTCCTTCTTCCACTAAAATTGTTATTAATGTACTTTCCAATCGTATTTTACAATTTGTATTTGAGCACATATAATATAAATACGAATTAAATTTCATTTATTTTTGAGAATACTAATAATAACAGGTACCTTGCAGAAATGTAATTGAGCGTCAACTTAATGCAAGAACATAGCGATAAATCAATTAAATTCGTTTAATTTTCAGATATTACCATTGCTCAGTTAATTTTAATTTTAAAAATTTGAATTACTAGTTAATTTAAATTTTTCCTAATTCTGCACTTAAGGCGCTGTATGCAGTAAAAATAGGTTTTTCAAAAGATTTTTTAGCAAAATCTACACATTTTATAGCAGCAAAAAAAATATATGTTAACCTTGATTGTGCATTCTAATGGAACATTGTTTCCAAAACATATTCTCGATATATTTTCTCGATAGAAAAAAATCATGAAACTACCTCTAAAAGAGAAATTCAAATCCAAAAATGAACGTAATACATCAACAAATCTTAATGAAATTAATATCAGTGGTGTAGAATATATTAATAAAAAGGATTGTTGTTTTAATTTGTTGATTGATGTAAGATATTTGTAAATATTAATTTAATTCATTAAAATTAATTCGAACGCAATGGCCAAAACACCGCGCCACCGCGGCGTTGTTTCAGCTCTCATCCAATTCCACACGTTGAACAGAGAGCGCTGAGGCACCTTGCTAGATGGACCTATACCGCTCGTCGCCCGCTCACCGTTACGAAATATGTTTCGTATTTATTTATTATTGACAGTTTTAATATTATAAGACCTTCCAAAACACGAAACTAAAAAATATATATTCACATATTTCGTATTTATAAATTATTTGTATGTATTAACAGTTGTTAATTAATTTTTCAATGTCTTATCTCGTGATTGGTCTATCAGTCCTATACATACAGTGTATAGGACCATCATTCTTTTTGGATTGGGTTCAAATCCCTAAATTTTTTGTTGTACTTATTGTTGATTTTCTTATTTGGAAATATTTCTTAATTACCATTTAATTTTTGTTGATTTTTTATTTTCATAAATAATTACAACGAAATATTATTGTATTTGTTCAAAGTTGAAACAGTTGGAGAGCAATTTATTTATATAGATTTCGGAGATGAAGCGGCGTCATCATATCGTCATGCACCAGCCACGATAATCTATTGAAGCCGGTGGTCTTGTTGTGGACCCGGGGTGACCATCTGCCCGACACGAGCAAAAAATCTGCCAAAATCTGCTAAATTTATCTCCAAAAAATGTGCCATGATATTAGTATCGTTGGAGACAGTACAGTAATATTAATTAAATAAACATTTTTTCGCATAAGACATTTGACATCTTCATCTTGGGCGTTCCCTCACTGCTGAGGATTGTGACTCATATTCAATTCGTCAACGAGCTGTCTCCATCAGTTTCGTTCTGTTGCCTGGTGGAGTGCACGCTTATCGGGATTTCTAGGTTATCAGAAATTTGATACACCCACCTTTAAGAATTATGGCCTCTACCTCTTATCTATTTCCTTATTTGACATAGGCAAACTTGAAAGAGCCTTTGCAAAGTTTGAAATATTTAAAAAGTAAGTTAAACATTTTATTTTTACTGGAAAATCTCTTTCGAAATAATATTTGATAACAACTGCAAGCGTGGACGTGATAATACCTAGTTTACAATTGCAAGCTTTGCAAAATGCTACATCAGGATCCTCCCCAGCTTTGGAAATTCAGGAAGGAAGCAAAGGCAAAGCTCTTCGTCTTACAAGTTAGACAACTACACACATTAAACGCCAAAAGAGAATAAGGTATAGAAACATAAAAAATTAGAAAATACAGCAAACATTAACATGAACCTCGATCAGTTATATTAATAACACAATAAACCTTATTCCTGATTTGTTACCGTTCATAATCATAAGACGTACATAAATTAAAATACAATAGTCGGGAAATCCCCGTACTATGTGGAACGAAATTGCCACAACAGAAAAATAATTTTCTACCAAATAAATAGACATAGAATTTCAAAAATAATAAAGATTTCCTTTTAATCTGCCAAATTTTACCACTTTTTTGAATCCTCATCCTAATCTGCTACATCTAAAACTTCACAAATGATCATACTGTTGCGGACATACCTCTTTTGACGAAGCCACCGTGCTAACCCCAAACTACAATAAAAAAAATATTAATAACACGATAAGAACTTTCAAATGGCAGCACTATGCAGTATGTACTTTTATTTTTATGTCATCGTTTTGAAATGTCAAAATACTAAAATAGAACTATGTTCTGAATGTTCACATTCTACATTGTGAAAATTAAATACACTTCACTGAGTATAGTTTGCTGCTAACAAATAAAAACGGCAGTTAAATTTCGTTGAAAGGTTTTTTTTTTGTATCAGTTTTGAGCTTTTGATTACAGGTGCTATGTGCTCTACTCCAATTCACTGATCAACGAGATCATCTGTCAAATGGCTTCAAATTTAATGTTATTTAAGTTGCCAAAAGGATGGTTAAACTCTTTGAATTGATCTTTCTAATCATTAAGAAGATCATTCTGATCAAGAGTTTAACCAACTTTTTGGCAACTTAAATAACATTTGAAAAGCCATTTGACAGCTGATTAGTTGATTTCTACGATGATCAGTGTTTCAGAAACCAAGTGTATGTAAATATTTAGTGTTCTATATTTTCTTATTTTTTTCTTAGAAAAACAATAGTATGCTATGGACGGTACATATCGAAGGAGGCCCACAAAGGGTCAATCATGCAGCCGTATGCATTGGCGACAAGATATATTCATTCGGTGGTTATTGTTCTACGGAAGAATATAAAGATTGGGAGCCCATTCCTATTCATGTATTAGATACTACTACATTGAGGTGGCCGCCTATGGCAGGGCTCCAATATTGGAAGATTGTAAGCGAGAAAAAAGGAAAGTGGTGGTAAATTCAAAAATCATAACTCCCCGCCGCCAAGACCCTGGTATAATAGTCAAAGACGCTATAAACTTCATAACAGAACAATCAATCGCTTAAGATTCGGCCACTGTAGAATTCCTGCGCATTTAACAAGACTCAAATTGTCGCAAACCCGTGCATTACAGAAAAACACATGTGATGCCATTCCAAAGGTATGGACACACTACAGTGGCCTATGGTGACAAGGTCAGTTATTTATAAATATACTTGAATATGCACATTTACTTACATTGAATATTAAATTCAGACTTTTAATACACTTCCTTCAATATTCTTTTAATTTGTCATTCTTTCTAATCATTAAGAAGATCATTCTGATCAAGAGTTTAACCAACTTTTTGGCAACTTAAATAACATTTGAAAAGCCATTTGACTGCTGGTTAGTTGATTTCTACAATGATCAGTGTTTCAGAAACCAAGTGTGTATATTTTCTTATTTTTTTCTTAGAAAAAACAATAGTATGCATAGAGGCCCACAAAGGGTCAATCATGCAGCCGTATGCATTGGCGACAAGATATATTCATTCGGTGGTTATTGTTCTACGGAAGAATATAAAGATTGGGAGCCCATTCCTATTCATGTATTAGATACTACTACATTGAGGTGGGCTCCCGTGCATTACAGAAAAACACATGTGATGCCATTCCAAAGGTATGGACACACTACAGTGGCCTATGGTGACAAGGTCAGTTATTTATAAATATACTTGAATATGCACATTTACTTACATTGAATATGACATTTTTAATACACTTCCTTCAATATTCTTTTGGATTTTGGATACATTACAATGGGGATTTTTTGAATACAATTGAGGTGGGCTTTTTATTTTTTTTCTATACTTACACTTCCTTCAATATTCTTTTAATTTGTCATTCTAGGTGTACATGTGGGGCGGTAGAAATAATGCTGTGGCCTGTGATACATTATTTTGCTTTGATACAAAAAAATTAGAATGGAGTAAGCCTGCCGTGACTGGTATGGTTCCATATGCCAAAGATGGTCATTCTGCATGTATTATAAAAAATAAAATGTATATCTTTGGTGGCTTTGAATACCTTACCGATCAGTATTCACAAGACATTCATTGTTTGGACTTGGATACATTACAATGGAGATTCGTTAATGTTAGGGGAATCCCGCCATCACATAGAGACTTCCACACAGCTGTTCCTGTAGCTCACAAAATTTATATTTTTGGAGGCCGTGGTGATTTAAATAGCCCATATAATTCTCAAGAAGAAGTATACTGTCCGCAAGTATATTATTTAGATACATTAAAGGAAGAATGGATTGTAGCGAACCCCCAAGGACCTTGGCCTGAGGGCAGGCGCAGTCATTCAGCCTGTAAGTGATATCAACATTAGTTATGACTATAATGTATGAGAATGATGTTATAGAAATAAAGAAAATATATTTTCACCTAACAATTACCCTAAAAGAAAATGTTATAAGAGATTATCTAATTTGGGTATACTTGTAAGTAAAATTCATGCTGTGATTTTCAGGGTATCGCCAAGGTTACATGTATATTTTTGGTGGGTTTAATGGCAATACAAAAACTCACTTTAATGATCTATATAGATACTCAATTATTGGAAATTACTGGGAATACATAAATGTCCATGGTATGAAGCCATGCAAAAGAAGGCGACAAGCTTGTATTCTGTATAATGATAAAGTCTACCTTTTTGGTGGAACAAGGTATGAAAATATTTTAAAAGCTTTATATGTATTTTATAAGGGATATGTTTCAATGATCCTTACATTTACTTGTATTCTTAATCAAGTTGAAATATAACCATTAATTCAAAAACCTCATAAGTCACAATTAGAGTTTTTCAGGAAACAATAAACACTATTTCATACATAAACAAATGAGTTTTAAAGGCCTTTTTTATACTTAATTTTGTATTTGAGTTGTAAAAAAATGAAATATTGAATTCATTCATTCCCATCTATTTATCTTCAACATTTGCAGTTGGCCAGGTATAATTCCTATTAAAAAAAGGCAAATGCTCTTCCAGAATGCTATTCTGAACGTCTATTTTTTATTATTCATCAGCACTTTTCAAATCAAAAGCCTTGATTGATGGAAGTGAAACCATAGTTATCAGTTTTTTTAGTAATTAATAAATGTTTATTCCATCCAAAAAGAGAGTTGAGTATGCTTGAACCAATCAGAACAATTAAAGTTTGGTATGGCAAACTCTGGTATAACTCTCGCCATCTAGTAGTAATGTTGTTTGTGCATTGAACATTTACGCGGCATTATTTGAAGAGGAAGGAATGTTTGACTTATGTGGTTTTTACCCAGCATACACAAAATATGTTGTTATAATTGTATCTTTATGTGCAGTCCATGTCCACATGTAAGTGGTCGTCCAGTAGACAATGCAGACGGATTAGATGATCCTGAGAGATTGATAGACAACAGTGACCTCCATTTACTAGATTACTTGCCTAATTTGAAAACACTCTGCATACTTCAAGTACTTGAACATGGATTAGATCAAACCTTCTTACCACGTGATATAATGTATGTAAACTTAAAATTTTAATTCCTTCTATGTAAAGTTGATCTATGTAGACTAGATATTACACAAAAAAAATCATTTATCTTTAGGATCTTTAACAATTAATATAAGATTACCAATGAAATATTGAATGAAATTTTATTCAAGATATAAGGGGTTGTACTATACTGTTGGTGTGCCTATAACAACAAAATAAAATAAAGGGGTTTGCTTGCTTAGCACTTTCTGGGTACTGATAGTTTAAATCGCATGAGTTCATACCACTACTAATTTGCTATTTCACTCCAATTGAGAGCAGGTAAATTTCTGAGATTGAGACTGATTTGTCCGATACCATTATTAAAAAATAATTTTTGGAACAGTTGGCTAGACTTAGTGTCAATCAAAAGCTCAAGGCATACTTAAAATCATATATCGATATGTCTACTATTATTATAATTTATATACATTCCATACTTTTTGGTGCTTTACATAAATATAAATTAGGGATGCCGAAAGTCGAAAAAAATATCGATATAACGATATTTATAAAAATATCAATATCGGCCTCGATATATCGAAAAAAAAATCGATATATCGGTCAAATTTTCAATTTTAAAAAATAATGTATTTAGTTCAGTCTGATTCAATAATAAGTAATAGTAATTTTTATACCAAATTCAGAAATCAGAAATTTTAATAAAACGTTAATTATTTATTAATTTTAATCAAATTTCTTTTATTAATCTAAATTTCTAGGTATTTTATTTATCAAAATCTTCATTGGAAAAAAACAAACAGCTTATTTAGTAAGACAAATCAGTTTCTTTAGCCCTGAATCGAACTAAGAAATAACTTTGTAAAAAAGAATAAAGAATTGTTTCAAATGACGTTAATAATGGGTCAAAAAGAAACCTGCAGAAACTTGTCCTAAAGGACATCAACAGAATTTAGTACTTAATAGTTGTTTGAAATGAAAATGTCGACATGAAAATGCTGGACGGCAATTTAAAGAAGTTACTATTATGTGGTTAAATGATAATAATATTTATGACTTCAAATATTTTTTTTTGTGAAAACTCGATATTACACGATGTGTGACATTTAATTATTGAGAATTTTATTATAATTAAGTTTTTGTTAACTTTATTTACATATTAAATTAAAGCTACTTTAGTTGATGCCATTAAAATTTTACATACTATTTATAAATTAACATAATATGTAGTCCAATATTGATGATTTGTAACTCCTCTATACCATGTTGTACCTTAAATATCGAAGTATAAAATACGAATACGAAGCATCAAATTGTAGGTATGGTGGTAATTATATACCATAATTATGGTACAAAATGCAACTTTGCATCCGCGGCAATACTAGTAATAGACCACAGTTTTTTTCCGTTCATTTTTATCTTTTACGGCTTTGAATCAGTCTGAATAAAAATATCGTTTTTAATACGATTTCGTTATTAAATTTTTATTTTTATTAAAACATGTAGAAAGTGCGAAGAGATTGTCGCCGTTGTGGGAATCGAACCCACGTCTTCGGCATTCGCGGCCTGACGCTCTAGCCACTGAGCTAAACGGCTGATTGCCACACCGACGAAAATCTTAACGCATTCTTCTACATTGTTTTCTTAGCATTTGAAGCAATGCTTGGCGCCATCTATTGTTATATCCTTTCCAGCATACAAATAATTTCGAATATCGTTTTACAGCGACAATTCGAACGAGAGATGTCGCCATTGCATTTTTAGAATTTTTTTTAAATTGTTTATAGCGCTAATCTTTGCACTTAAGATTGAACACTAAAATATGTAGAAAAAGTGCGAAAAGATTGTCGCCGTTGTGTGTTCTTTTGAATTGATCATTCTTATCATTAAGAAGATCGTTCTGGTCAGTTCAGATAGTTTCAGAGACCGGGCGTGATTGTCGTAGACGTTAATTCATTCAAGTCATTTGAAAAGCCATTTGACAGCTGATTAGTTGATTTGTCAGTGGGTTTACTGATGATTAAGTTCTTTTTTTATTTCTATGGTAAAGTTGACAAATGGGCAGGTGTCTAACCTATATAACCTATAAGCCTATAGATAATCGCACCTACTTTGAGATTGCATTTATGGTTCCAAACTTTAACAAGTGAGCTATATATGGAATATGCAACAGTCGTCACAAAAAAGAAAAGTAAAATTCTACTCAGAGGAACCGATTCATTCATGGAAAATTATTTTTGAAAAACACCAAAAATCTGTTTTTAATTAATTAAACCTATTATTTCCAGAATAGACATTCGAATGATGACGCTCCCAAATCGCATCAGCAGGCCTGTCAATCAAGCTGGATAATGCACCAACCTAATACATGATCTGTCTGGTAACTATCCTTGTAGTCTATAACCAAATGCGAATGAGACATTTCATGTGCATTTGATTGTAATACATTGCATGTTTTCCTTCACTGTCCTATTTATTTGTTACTGTAACAATTGTTAACTGTGATTAAGGAATTGTGTACGTTATTCAAAAGTATTGGCAAAAGACACTACAATTATTTACTTTATTATAATATTGTATAGTTTATTATAATATTATATAGTTTATTATAATACTATATAGTTTATTATGATATAATTGTAGACAGTTTATAGCAGTGCCATAAACTGTCTACAATGATAATGCGTATGTGACTTAAATTGGTACTATAATAAAAGAATGGTTTATTTATTTAATTATTATTTCATTGTACACATCTTATAAGATTAAAATTAATTCAAATGTATGGAGCAAAGCCTAACAATACCAATCTTGTATTATGCTTAGAGGAGCTGCAAGCTGCAGAAGGATGCATTGTTAAGCTGCCATAAATCGAATGGTCACTCAATATGATCAGATTTCTCTGTTGAGTGTATTTAGCAGATAATTCGGTTATCGTGGCAGGGTATAATAATTTTTTAATACAGTTGCTCAAAAAGTGGCATATTGCAGGGACGTATAGCGTTTGGGATGTGGGCGATTACATACTCGAGCTTTTTCTTTACCTTTTCCGAACTCGTGCGTTCTCTTTCCCAACTGTCAAAATAATGTGTATTAAAAAGAAAAAAACAACCACGAAGTTTTTACAAAAAAAAATTAATAGAAGTTTTTATGATTCATGCAGATATTTATAAAAAGAAGCTACTAATTTGTTTCAATATCAGATTTAATAATTTAATTCAATGAGTTAGGTTAGGTTTCATTTCATCTCACTAAATTTCATTTTGATTTCATATCAATAAAAAAAATCTACTGAAGACTTGGCTGTATGGACATAGTTCCCTTTGCCTACCCAGAATGGGTGAAGAAAACAAAAAAAAATCTGCTTATATTCTTTTACGGTTGGCTCCATTTTCCAAAAGGTCTAGACACAATATTCTTTTTGAAAGCATTCTATATTCAATCGGCAATACACTTTAGTAGTTTTCAAGAAAATAAACGTTTTAGCACCTACTTAAGTGTAGTTATTCGAGAATTTTGAATATTTGCGTTTAATATAAACTTGCTTTTACTATAAACGTGTCAAAGCTGTGGCTGCTGAGCCACTCCGGAGGTGCCTGTTATGGTTTTCGCCGGGTGTCTGCTGAATGAGCTGGGATGCAACATCCCAGCTGGGGCCAGATTTCTTCTCACTGATGATCTCATTTATGTGATATTCCGGCTTGTAACCTAGCTATACAATGGTATATGTACGGTAAATGTACCGTAATTGTCATTATATTCTCTTTTGTGGTTTGGTCGCTAGTGCACTTGCCGAAAGCAGAATTTTGAGCGTTGCTGGGCCTCTCGGCGTGTAAATACCGATGACCTTAGAAAGAATGCAATTTTGCATTCATTAGATAGTACCAATAATACTACCAAGACATTAGTACCCCCGATTCATAAAATACGAATGCTCGGATCCACAAGATCTATTGCCATTTGTCATCACCATTTTGTTCTCTGAATTAGATTTACCTAGGTAGCATACTATACCTCATATAAAAATATACTATAATCATCATGTCTGTGGTATGGCAGCGCGATTTAAATATTTTTTATTCTGTTTGTTAGTCTGTTGTTACTATAATTGTGTACGATGGATTTTCTCGACTTGAAGCTTTTTCAAAGGCATAGTCAGGGGATGAACCAGAATTACAACTGTTGCAAAATAATCTACTCAAAAAACAAAGTTCGTTTGCTTCCATAAAAACTCCGCATCTTATTTTGATACTTCTCCCAACTTTGTTATCCACAACTATAAACACCACCATGCGTATGACACACTGCAAATACTTACCGAGTTGACAAAAAACCCTTACGGGTCTCATCCCGTCTAGTGCTCGCATGGGACCAACACGGGGAGAAGACGGCGCACTAACGGATCAGGGGAGCCTTCTCCTATCCCGCAAGAGAACCCGTCTACTTGCAGTGGTAACTTTTTTATGTGAAAAGTTGATAAGCGAGCCCATTGCAATCGTCCTCCCTAGAACCGACGTCCCTACAATGCTAGATGCCACATTGCAACACACCAGCAGGAGGGGTCGGTTGATATAAGACGCGGCCAATCCGGCTTAAGCTATGACTCTAGCTGCCGGCTTACGCACCACAGGGTTGCCAGCGACGAAGACGCGGCCAAAGCAACGGCGATACCGGCCCGACGGATACATCTATTATATGTACTTTGTTTATCAACGAGACGTATTTTCTAGTGTTTTTTTTTTACTTTACGGTGCGAACACTTGCCACGGGAGCTCAGAATGTCGAAAGAAATCGACGATAGGCAACAGCACATTATCGGCTTCGATTGAAAAGTATCTCAGTGAGCACTCAATTCGACTTGCGAGCGGAGACGTATTGAAGAAGCATATATTATAGCGTACGGCTTGAATCGTCTCGGGCGGCAATAAGTGCGGCTGGCACTTGAGCAATTTTCGATGATTTGCGCCCGTAATGAATATACACATTAATACTTGCCGCGCGACTCAATTAAGACACCCACGAAATGTTATTCCGAGGTCAAAAAGGTCTCTTTGAGGCCCTCAAAGTCAGGTTCTGATATGGCTCGAGTTATTACATGGCATTATTGGTTATCTAATGGCATTAAACATTAAGAACAAAGTCGAGCTATTATTTTGTTAATTCGTAGGAATAATATCCCGACCCAAGAAAATCTATAGGGTTTTTGGATCAAAACATATTGCGTAGTCCCCGAAAATTTACAACGAAATTAAATAATCCTTTGACGATTATTCTTTTTTATGCAAAAGTTAAAAACAATCAATAATGTCATATAAAGGTGAAAATTAAAGGGACAAATTACAATGAAAAAAAGACTTTTACTCGTCTTCTTTAACAATATGCTTTTTGCGTTCAGGCACATGCGGTACACTGCCGGGTTTGCTGTGAACGCGGCGATTTGCGTCTTTCTTCTTTGACTTCTCCCGTATAATCCTCAGCTCCTTTTGAGCATTCAAAATGTGTTTTGGCACGTGTCGGTGGCGGGCTATCCGTTTTATTTGAGGATGATTGCCGAACTTTTCTTTCAACGCGTCGGCATAGTTCAGCGCGGTTCGCTCACGAGGTTTGAGCTGAAAAAAACATTAAAGAACTCACCACACAATAGGTTGACTGGCAGAGAATGCCCAAAGGCATTAAGTCCACCTATTGTGTTCCGTATTAAGGGAAATGCAATAAAGACTAAATAAATAAATAAACATTGCAAAACAACAAGAAATGTTATTTCGAAAGCAAAATCTGAGTATCAAAATATATCCAAAAACAACTATATTGTGTGAATTGCGATAGAACATGGGTGTACAATCAGCCTAAATGTTTTGTTTATTTATATATTTTATTCACTTGTTCAGACTATATCATTACATACAGATTTGTGGGATGGTAGTCAAACACTGTCCAGTTAGTAAACACAAAAATAATAAGTATACCTTTTGCATTAAAATCTATCATAACAGCATAGTCATAAGACACTTACAACGCCAAGTTTTTCAGATGCTCTCGCTTTCCACATTCTGATATTCATCTCATCTGAACCTGTCAATATGTACTTATTGTCTAAGGACCACTTCACACATGTCAGTCTTTGCATTCGTCTTGTGTGATACACATCCCTAGAATGGCCTTTTAGACTTTCAAAGATTCTCACTGTTTTATCATAACTTCCGGCTACAAATTCTCTACCAGTTGGTGAGTAGTCAACATCTATTACAGCTGATGTATGATCCATGTGAATATTTACAGGCTGATTAAGCTTCCTCACATCAAATGTGTACAAGCTGAAAAATTGAACAGCATTTTTTAAATTATTAACAACAATTCATGCAAATGTTTAAGTAAACCACAGAAATATGTATATTGATTAAGTTTCTCAGTTTTGGGAGATTATAACATAAAATACCTTGACCTTCAAATATGCAGTTGCAGAAACCAACATATCAAATTTTTGACTATGTAATACCCAGATTACATGACTGATGTTCAGTTTAAAAATTCATATCAGATTACATATCATATATGTGCTACATACAGATATAATAGAAACATATAAATTGTATAATATGATGTATAAAAGATAGATAGAACACAAGAGAATTAGCATAAACAATGCTTGCCCGCAAAAAGTATAATGGCTATTTAATCTTATCCTTTAAACGAGCAATTCTTGTATATATATATATATATATATATATATATATAAATATAAATATATATAATCGGAATATCGGAATCGGCTCCAGCGATTTTCATGAAATTTAGTATGTGCGTAGATTCGGGGGCGAAAAATCGATCTAGCTAGGTTTTATTTTTAGAAAAAGTCCTTTTATCCCTGTTTTCAGGGAACAAAAAAAATCATTCGAATATGACAGTAAATTTCGCCGCAAAATAAAATGTTATAATACCTCGGTCGGTAATCGGGCGGCCCCAAAACAGACGGCCGTGGTTCGTATCACGATCATTTACACACTTATTTTTTTTGCTTTTTTTTTCTATACCAGATCATTTTCTTTATTTTTTTTTATTTCCAAAATACATAATTTACAAAAAAACCGAGCAAAGCTCGGTCCTCCAGGTACTATAACTTATGTATGAATGTGTAACTAGGATGTTCATTGAGCTCAAATGTCATCTTTAAATAATACTTACTTATAGTCTTCATTAGCTACTGTAAATATAAAAGCTTCCATTGGGTTCCAAGAGAGGGCATTTGATCTTAATTCCATCACAACTTTCCGTAAAGGGCCTGATTCTCTACAGTCATAAAGGATAATGCTTCTGTCACTTGCACATGAAGCTAACAAATTGTATTCAACCTGGAAATAAATGTAATCAAAATCATTAAGGTGTAATAATTTTATTTGACTGGATTGAGAAAAACGAATCTCTAATGCCCATTTTCACCATTGTATACTCAAACGCCGCAATCCCTTACTAAGGGTGCCGTAACCTAAGGGATTCCCTAAATCAGCCCGTCACCTAAAATCATTTTCAATAGAGTGTAGAAAATGTTTTCATTTTTTTATAGCTGAAATTACATTTTAATATACATTTTAATAGCTAAAAAAGTATGAAGCAATAACATAGTGCTAAAAGGCAGAACATCGAGCCCTTATTTTTAAGTTACTCCTTAAGACTTTAGGTGTAGCTTAAGCATTGGTCAAAACAAAACTAGCTCTTAAATTTTTTTAGATGGTCCTTTAAATTCAGGGATCATTGGTGAAAAAGGGCATAAATGTATTTTACAAATCTAAACATACTACTACTAAAATAAGCTTATTTTATGAATGTAGCTACATTATTGCTGAGCAAGAATAGGCTATCTTTATTAGCAATAATTTGTAAATAAATTTTATTTAAATTCATATGTTTTGGATATAACTTTCTATATAAATAAAACAAATTGTATGAAAAACTAAATATTGAACTAATTATGGTGATGATGGATATTTGTTTTCTTTCCAGTGTTTTATTGCATTTTATGATGATTAAATTTTTCTACCTTTATAATACTGCAATAAAATAGGTTTTAATAAACAAGGCTTCAAAGTAAGTATTCAAATATTGTATTACAAGTTCTAATAACAGAGGTTAGCAAAACAGTTAATTTTTTTAAGAGAGCAAAGAAAACTTGATTATGTACTCATAGTTATAAAGTCTGCATGTACTTTATAAGTTTTTCAATAAACCAGCTATAAGAAATTTGATTATACTATACCTGATTAAATGCAACATGATGGAGACTATCTACTCCCCATTTAAATATTTTTATTGGTTCACTTCTTGTGTTCTCCCACAATTGGCAATGCTCACCACAAGTGGCAAAGATTGGCTTATTTCTATGGTAAGTAATACCAGACACTGGGGACATGCTAAGTAATGTGTTAACAGGCTCTTCTTCATCAGGCGACACAATTTGAGACTTCCATGTTTTTATTGTTTTGTCATCACCAACACTTGTAAATGTCTCCCCATCTGGTGAATAGTTTATAGCTCGAACCCACCCTTCATGGGCAACAAAATTTCTTAAACATTTCCGTATTGCCAAATCCCAAACTCTTATTTTACCGTCAAAAGCCCCACTAACCAGCAGTGCAAGTTTATTTGGATGTTTTGCCATGCTAGAAACTCCATCTCTGTGTCCGTCTAGACTGCCAATAAAGGGTTTGGCAAAAACTCTTTCAAGTTTTACAGCATTCATGGCTCTAACGTATTCACGTGGCGCTTCTAATGGGTGAAGACTAGGATCATAGTTCCTGGGTACTGAAAAAAATCTTAGCTCATTTTATGTTCAAGATAATAATTAATAAATAAAGTGAAATCTTACTTTTGTGAATATCACGCTTTGTAGACCGTAAATAGTCTTCAGGATTTCGACTTATAACTTTAATCTTAACATTTGGCATCTTAATATTTTATATAGTATACTATGAAATTAAAATTGATAGATAAAAATGTTTTGTTTTTTAGAAATAAATAAATATTATATTTTAAAAACTGTTTGAATAAAATGAAAATATAACCTCATGTGAAAATATCCACCAAATAGGGATGCTGAAAAAATATCGATATATCGATATTTTTTTAAATATATCAATGTTTTTGGCCGATTTATTTCCGATATATATAAAAAATTGAATATCGAAATCGTATCAAAAACGAAAGTTTTATTCAAACTGATTCCAAGCCGTAAAAGATAAAAATGAACGGAAAAAATCTGTGGGATATTACTAGCATTGACGCGGATGCACAGTTACATGTTACCACCTCGATGTCCATTGTCCAGCGTTCCACAACAGCGCGATTTTCAAGGCATTTCCTGCCTCGCACAACCACTTTGTGGAACCAGCTGCTGCCAGCGGTCTTTCCGAACCGTTACGACCTGGGAACCTTCAAGAAGAGAGCGTACTCTTTCCTAAAAGGCCGGCAACGCATTTGTAAGCCCTCAGGTGTTGTCCATGGGCGGCGGTGATCATTTACGATCAGGTGAGCCTCCTGCTAGTTTGCTGCTTTTTTCCCATTAAAAAAAAAAAACATTTGGTTCTATAATTATATTGTTATACTACAATTTGATGCTTCGTACTCTATACTATCCATATATTAGGTACAACGGGTTTCTTTTTGACCCATTATTCATACCTCTATAACTTCGATTTAAGCAATTCTTTTGGTTTTTTTTTTACAAAAGTTACGTGTTTTTAATTAGTTATTTTTTGATTTGATTTGATTGATTCGATTCAGGGCTATCGATATTCGATATCTATTTTAGACTAATAGAATTTATTAATTAATACGTAATTTTATATAGATTTAACTTGTAAATATTAGATAAACAGACTAATTATAAAAAATTAATGGACTTTTCGACTAACGGATCGTGTCAATTTCGATATATTTTCAACGCAACTCTGGTTTCGTATTTTCTGCTACTAGATATTATTTGCATGCTCCTCGCGCATCGTTAACTTTAAAAACTCTTTTCTACTATTTTCTTCAGGTCTAATCTATTTTTAAGAATTTTGTATGTTTTGAAAATACGTATAAATAATAATGCGAAAAATGACGATATATCGACAGTTATCGATACTTTTTTAAAAGTCGATACTATATATGTCGATTTTTTTTTACATGCCCAACCCTAGACCAAAATACCACACACAACTGTGCTGTCATGTTGTGCCACACTCCAGGCCCAGAGATAGTAAATCAATACGTCAGTCAGGGCTAGGTAGGCAGAATTTCTAAGTGTTACCAATTATATTTTTAAATGAAACTAATTTTACGGATTTATCGCGTTTATTTTTAATTTTAATTCCCGACGTTTCGAACCCTTTACAGCGTTCATGGTCACGGGACAGACTGAGGTGTTAGACGTCTGATTGTCATAGTTAACCCGGGCTACCGTCAGTTTTTGAATTATTAATTTTGTGTCCGATCTATGCAGAGGGAGCTAATTGTATCTTGTCTTGCAGTAGTGGTTCGTTTGGGCCTAGATTTAATTTTATTGATGGCAGGATCCTAAGCTGATGGTAGTACCCAACCTTCTTCTCTATTGAAATTAGGGTGTTTTTTAATTTCAATAGCCTCGCGAATCATCCTTGGGAGGGATCGGTGTTCTTTTGCAAGGATCTGTGGTTAGTCAAACCTGATGTAGTGGTGGGCCTATTTAAAATGTGCTCACAAACTGCAGACTTGTTCAATCTATTGTGTTTTATGTCAGCTATATGTTCTTTCACGCGGGTTTTTATTGCTCTTTTTGTTTGTCCTATATAAGAGAGCCCACATTCACAGTCAAGTTTGTACACTCCTGGATCTTGCAGAGGGATATTACACTTGACAGATGGTAAAAACTAACTATTCTTCTTCAGCGGCTTGTAGAATGTATTAATTGAAGCATGCTTTAAGATATAGCCAATCTTGTCGGTGACTCCTCTGATGTATGGTAGAACAGCAGGTACTCGCTCCACTGTGGCTGGTTTCACTCGGTCACTGTGACGTAGGCGCGGTGCTCGAAGCTTGTTGTCATGCAGAACTTGCTTGACATGTTGAAGCTCAGCGGCCAGGTGTTGTTTGTCACAGATCCCTTGTGCTCTCTGAAACAAAGATTTACCCACGGTAGCTAACTGGGATGGATGGTGGTGAGAATCACCGTTTAGGTATCTATTTGTATGGGTTGCCTTCCTATACACGGTGTGACTTACAGTGTTATTTGGATTGCGGATGACCAAAACAACTAAGAAAGCTAAAGAGTTATTATGCTCTAATTCCATAGTGAATTGTATTTTGGAATTTACGTCAAGCAAGTTCTGCACAAAGGACAGCCTTTTTCTTTTACGTGGAAAAAAATCCTTTATAGATCGGGGGAGTCGCAGGGGTGTGCACAATCCATCACTCCGGATTGAGCGATATTCTTACAGCGTGAAAACCTCAACCATCAGCTTTTATTTTAGCAGTACTTGACGCCTATATATTTTTCTTTGAAATTGCTGACACCCAAAAAACATTTTAAAAATGAATATTTTAATGAGAGAATCTTTGGTGTTAAAATTTGTGATTATGATTTTCAATGCTTGTTTATATTCAAAATAAAATTTGAATGTGAGTTTAAAAGATGAATTATCGAAAAATTTCAAGGTGATCCTAGAATTTGAACCTGCATCTTCTGAGTGACGCGCCAATATGCTTTAGCTAACTGATCAAAGCGGCGGATATCCTCAGAGCACGAAATCTTCGAACCTATCTCCATATATTTACAATTTTTAGGGTTCCGTACCCAAGGAGTAAAACGGGACCCTATTACTAAGACTTCGCTGATTTTTTCACAGATGATGTATTTACCTTTGCCACTATCACAACAAATACTAAAAAACAGAATAAAAAATATTTAAGTGGATTTCCCAATGATATATAAAATGACAAGACACTAGCGACCGAAATTGAGGCACTTAAATTACACCAATTGATGCAATTTTGCTATCTCTTTCCATATCATCTGACAATTTCACTTATATATGTCATATAATGTAAATTGAAACAATTTTTAATCGCCCCGCAGTATGGACATGCATAAATAGACATGATTTTTTGCCATTTATATAGATAGTGGTACGGAATCCTTCGTGCGCGAGTCCTACTCTCGGTTTTAGCAAAACTTGGTGGCACCTAGTAAGTTTCTTAGAAGTTCCGCTTTGTTATGTCCCATTACTAGTCAAAGGTCTCTTCAGTACAGAGGGTATTAGAGCATAGTAAACACGTAAAGTCTGCCGCATGGGATTGGCCGCATTCACATACCTTAGAATCTTTTTATTATTTTTTCGATAAAATGCAGGTTATCTCACGAAGCTCACCTACAGCACGTAGCATGTAATAAATTATCGGTTCTTTTAGTCTCACTAGAGTAACGTATATGAGGTACATATGTATGACACTTGCGCACTGAAACTGAAGCACGCAAATTACTCCAATGTGTGTAATTAGATTGCAATTCTGTAGACTGCTATTTCTTTCAGTATTATACGTTCTATATCATCTGTCACATTCACTTATATATGTCATATCATTTAAACCGGAATCATCATCTTTAAAACATCATTGCGGCAAATTTGAAATACGAGTATACACAACTGTCTGCGAATAGTAAAGGAAAAACATAACGATCTTTAAATTTCACTCGTTGATGTCTTTTTACAGCCTCCGTCGCCCTAGATGTATAAATAGCTGCCTCAATGTCAAGAAGCTACAACAGGATAAAAATGCTTATAACTTTTCAGGTGATGTAGAAGTTTAAAAAAAAATGTCTTTTAAAATCTCTCTCTCTCTCTCAATGATTGCATCTAGAAATGATCTAACCGTTTTTTTTTAAAATTATTATTTTGAAATGAAAAATCGTAAATATGGCCTGAAAAACTTATGTTGTTGATTGTAGTGTAATAAGATAAAAAAGATACTTAAATGGAAAACTTCGGTATCCAAATAGTGAAGGGTTACGGAAAGAGGGAATGAAACTAGACAAAGCGTTAATATCAAAACGAAATTAATATCAATGTGAAACTAACTGGGATCAATATTCTGACAGAGACGATCGGCAGAGTCATCTGCTAACATGGCTTGCGGTATATGTTTATTTTTTACATTTACATGTTTGTTATATACATTTTGTTTCTGTCCAGGAGACTGTACGTTCACCTTACCTCAAACTTAACGTTACAAGGTTGCGTCTGAGCATTGGAAGCCCTGAATTAATGAACTTTGCTTAATTATACCAAATGTATATTTATAAGGACCGCCATGAGGTCACATGACAGGCATGAGCTTATTACGGTTAGGTAACCGTAATAAGCTCATGCCTGTTTCACACCAGACAAAAGGCTGTTGAGCATTTATCAAACGTGCAAAACAGGTGGCGAATGGATTTTCAGACCGACCTCATCGATATCTATGTGTTTAAAATTAAATCATGATGATGATGATGATTCCTCCCGGCCGATTTCGGCCACGGCGACTGCATTTAACTCCGGTTTTGTCTTTGGTGTGCTCGCGTGTGGCTTATGTAGCCAATTTTTTGTTTAAAAATCCTCGCACACTGCGGGCACGTTAGCACACCGTTTACGTAATTATAACTAATGGCCGCTGGTGGTCGAGCCTTTAGTTCGTCTCGCTTGGCGTCTAGCTCACAGAGCCGCCTGTCCTCAAAGTTTTGGACCCTCGTTTTAACAAGCTCCCTCCACTCAGTCCGTCTGGCTGCCTGCTGCTCCCATAGCAGCGGGTCGATGCTGCACCTCTTCATATGCCGCTTAAGCACATCTCTGTACCTGAGAAGTTGACCGCCATGCTTACGCTTGCCTTCCTCAAGTTCCGAGTAAAAGATGCGCTTAGAAACTCTTTGCTCCGCCATACGCGACACGTATCCGCCCCACCGAAGTTGACGTCACATAAGGTAAGCCTCAATGCCACCTACATTAGCTCTTCGCAGCACTTCGGTGTTCCGTACACGATCAGACCATCGAATGTTTAGTATTTTACGCAGGCATTAAAGGGGGAATCGGTCGAGCGTATGGATGTGACGGCGGTACACGGTCCATGTTTCGGCAGAATAAAGAATATTGGGCAGCACAACAGCCACGTAGACGGAGATCTTAGTCGCCAGCGTTTAGGTCATGGGAGCCGAAGACCTTCGCATACAATTTGCCGAACGATACAGCAGCAGCGCCAATCCTGCTGTTGATTTCCGCGTCTAGATCACATTTAGATGATAGTGTGCTCCCCAGATAACGGAACTTGTCGACCTGATTCAGCTTGTCCTCACCGAGTTTTATTGTCAGTGCCTCGTGACCTTGTATATCTAAAGACATCACTTCCGTCTTTTTCACGCTGATTCTTAAGCCGAATTTTTGGCACGACTCGTTGAACTCGGACATTAGCTGCTGCAGGCCGTCTGGGGATTCTGTAACAAAGCATAGGTCATCGGCGTACATTATTTCAGTGATCATAGCATGCGAAACTTTGGTGCGAGCCTTCAGTCTCGCCAGATTAAATATACCGCCGTCCGTACGAAAACGGATGCGGACGCCTTCAGAGTTTAATTGCAAGACTTCTCGAACTACAACTGCAAAGTACAACGCGAATAGTGTTGGTGCCAGGACGCATCCCTGTTTTACCCCACAGGTAACGCGGAAAAACTCAGACTGTTCATCGTTGACAGCGACACAGCACTCCATGCCGTCGTGCAGGAGTCTAAGAAGCCTTACAAACTTCTCTGTACACCCGATCTTCGCAAGTACCATCCAGAGGGCTTTTTCTTGAGGCACACTGTCAAAGGCCTTCTCAAGATCAACGAAGCAGAGATATAAGTGTCGACCTTGCTCTCTGCTTTTCTCCTGCTGCTCTCTGCTCCTCTGTAGACGTACAGAGTAAATGGCCTCACATGTACCTCGGTCAGGACGGAAGCCAAACTGGGTCTCGGGCAAAAGCTGTTCAGAAAGCCTCATCAGGCGGTTAAGTAATACACGGGCAAAAACTTTTCCGGGGACTGAAAGAAGTGAAATACCGCGGTACGAATCGCAATCGGATCGGTCACCTTTGTTCTTATATAGGGCCCTTATGCGTGATACTTTAAAAGTGGATGTTCTTCTTTCCACATACGATCAAAGTGCTCCCAAATAGCCAATTGCAATTCATAACCACCGTATTTAAGTAGTTCTCCTGGTATAAAGACGATGCCCACCGCGCGCTTATTTTGCTGCTGATTGATGGCGAGAGCAATCTCCTCACACGATAGTGACTCATCCAGCTCAGTACAAATCGGGAGTTGAGGTAACAAACGAATGTGTTCCAGGTCTGCAGCCCGGTCCACATTCAGCAGAATGCTGAAGTGTTCCGCCCAACGTTTGAGTACTTCCTCTTTGCTTTTCAGAAGACCTTCGCCACTAGCAGGCTTAATGGGTACTTTTGCAAAAGAAGTCGTACTGATTTACTTACGAACCTCGCCATAAAACTCTCCAAGCTGGTTAGTGTCAGCGAGCCACTGAATGTGATGAGCCTTCTCCCGCCACCATTTATCCTTTGTTTCCCGACATAGCCGCCTAAGCTCCAGATCACTTTGTCTGATCTCCGTAGCGCTCACACTTTGGTTTGCTCTGCGGTGTTGCCATAGAAGACGTCGGTGTTTATCGACTGCCCCTGTCAGGACCATGTCATTCTCGTCGAACCAGTCTTCGGTCTTTCGGACTTTTTGACCCAAAGTAATTGCAGCGGTGTCGAGAATATGAGAAGACAAAGTACCCCAGTCGCAGTCGACTCGGCCAGCATCTTTGTTGACAGATGGTAATACAGTGGCCAAAGTGCGAGCATACTTCTCCCTCGTCACAGGATCTTTTAGCCCATCCACATTAAAACTCACATTAGGCTTAGGTTTTCTAGATCGACGGGGACGTTGGAGTCGGAGACGCAGTTTGGTAATAACAAGCCTGTGATCAGTCCAGCAGTGGGCACCACGCATTGCACGGGTAACTAGGACCTGGGAAACGTCTCGCTGCCGTACGATAGCGTAATCAATTAGATGCCAGTGTTTGGACCTTGGGTGCATCCAGGTGTTCTTATATTTAGCGGGGAGTCGGAACATGGTACTCGTGATGGAGAGTTGGAATTGTGCGCAAAGACTAAGTAGCAGATGTCCATTGCTATTCATGCACCCCACTCCGTGCTTACCCAAGACCATGCATCGTAGTCCCATCCAACTCTGGCATTGAAATCGCCCAACAGAAGAATCTGCTCTCTAGGCCTTACGCTTTCGATGCATTTTGCAAGCTCTTCATAGAATTGATCTTTAATGTCATCAGACTTGTTTAGGGTAGGCGCATAAACGCTGATCACATTAAGATAGTTGTTATTGTCAAGATGTAGGCGCAGTGTGGTAACGCGATCCGAGATGTGAATTGGACCCTCTTGGAGAGTTTGACAAGCCTATTCTTGATCGCAAATCCAACACCTGACCGTCGCGGTTCTGAGGTAGCAAGTCCTTTCCAAAGGAAAGTGTACCCACCACCGTGTTCCACCAGTTCTCCTTCTTCCGCTAAATGTATCTCGCTGAGGGCAGCCACATCTACATCGTAGCGAAGAAGTTCTCGGGCAACAATGGCGGTTTTCCGTTCTGGACAGATATTTTCATCGCGATCAAGGAGTTTACGCACGTTCCACGCGCATAAAGTCATATCTGATGTTTTGTTATTATGGTTATTACTTTTGCGACGTCGACCGCGAATTTATCGCTGCGAAGGCAGCCGCGGTTGCTACCATTCTCAAGTGGTGGGGAAAGCAATTTTCAGGGCACCTTTTCTAGCCCCCTCCCAGGCTGAGCAGGGAAAGCAGTGCTTCTCTGAATAGGGCTGCTCTGTCACTCCAGGTGCTGCCGAACCCCTTCTGTCTCCCCAAGTCAGAAGGAAAGCGACCACGATTTTCTAGGAACAGCCCTGGAGCCGCCCGTGTGCAGGTCTCAGACAAAGCCCGGTCTGCATCAAACCGAACCTCTGTACCTTGACCTATCGCCACGGGGCTTTATGAAGCACGGAGACCTTATTTCTGAAGCAGTCAAGTGCGCAGTAGATATTTAGGTGCACAAACGTGCGCGCAAACGCAGGTGCACACACTCGTCTTCCGCCTTCTTGATCCAGTGGAACGGAGAGACCGATACGACCGGAGAAGGGTTCCGATGATGTGTCTGACCGATGGTAACTTTACGCCCTCTACCATCGCCCTAGGCCGTCCACCAGGCCTTGCTATCGCGCCGGATCCGCCAATCTCATTGCATATCTGCTGTGAGCTGCCTTCCCCACCGAAATAGACTTTGTGTGTTGAGCGGGAGGGAGCCGCTGTAAAGAAATTGGGGGAGGAACGGTTTGGATCTTTGGAGAGGATAAAGGAGACAGCAGCAGCTCGGGGAGCCGGGGTCGCGTACCCGCATACCATACCACAACTGCCGGACAGGCCAGTTGGGATGAATACCCCCTGACGGCATTATTACTTAATAATTAGTTGCGATTGCTGCAAAATGTTGTGCCATGTTTAATATTTTTGTGTCTTGGCAATTGAGAAAAAGGGACGAACGTTTCTGTGCGAGCTATCTCTTTCTCGGTTTTCCGTTACGATGTAGTAACTAAATTAAATTTAAGGCAAGGACGTTTATGGTTTATATTCGTATGACACAAGATTTCACGTATTGTATATTTTGGATATTGATACACGGTAATTATATAACTAATCATTTACAGTATTACCATTTTAACAGCTGCCGCAGATAGTCGCTGCTACCTAACAGTGAATAAGCAGATTAAACAATTTCATTACATCGTTCAATATCACTTGTAAGTTTTTATTAAATTTATGATTCAAGGTTTTCTTTTGTTAATTGTATTATTTTGAAAAATAAATATATTGCTGTATAATCAATATAGAATAAATAATTAAATAATTTTAGTTCCCTAAAAGCTTATATAATTAAACACTCATCACATTATATAAATATACTCATCTATTGAAAAGGCACCTAATTTAATACACCCATTTATCTATATATGAATGAAAATGGACTATCGACTAGACATTATAACTCTTTAGGAATTTAAATTAGCGTGTCAAGAGCGTCAGGGCGCGAATCCTGAAGACGTGGATCCATTCCCCACAGTGCGGCGGCGAGAAGCGTTTCGTTCCTTTTTTCTACAAATTTCATTGTTTAACATTATAACTTTACTTAGGTATATCTCGGTCTTTTCTGAATCTTAATCCATAAGATTACTTTTATGAATTTTTAAACTGGTTGACAATGTGTTTTCTGGAATTTATTGATAGCATAAGTTCCAATCCGATATGATAAACATTGATCAGTCAGTGCATTAATTTTCCTTTTGTTCCAGGACGTAACAGTTGCCAAAATGCATTCCCAGTTTTTGATTAATATTATTTCCATCATGATGACACTAGACTTATGTCTCTGGACCCAAGCGGAATTTTTTACCGCCATTTCAGATATGGAACCCTTGCTGTACACGCACAAGAAGACTATCGACGATATAGAGTATTATGTTGCCAAAGAGGAGAAAAGACTAGCTGTTTTGAAAAAGTGATAGTCAATACTTTGCTTATATTTTTATGAAAATTGGCTGTTTTATATGACCAAAAGATCAAATCTTGCAATTAGTTAAACTTAAGAACATGAGGTTGTAATTGTATTGCCAACTAATAGCCATTAATATGGCCTCACACAAGAAAATATTAACTTTTAGCACAAAATGTCTCAAAATTCTTAAATACGGCCTTTCCCCCCTCCTTCTTTTATGAAAATAGTTACTTCTTATAATGGAAAAACTAACAACCGCCTAATTTTTTTCAGGCATTTGAATCTCTACAGGAATGAGCACATTTTGGCGATGGAAGATATTTCAAATTACTTAGGAAATCCCATCAACGCGTTCACTCTCATTAAGAGATTGACAAAGGATTTAGACTTTATCGAAAAGAGCATCATGGTTGGAACAAGTGAGTAATTTATGTTTTACACGGTTTTATCCATTACTTTAATGTACTCAAGGGCGGATCCAGGGGGGGGGGTCATGGGGGTCATGACCCCCCCCCCCCCCCTGGGCAGGGTCCAGGACCTAGGTGGACCACTAATTAAAGTGGTTAAATATAATGTTTTTATATATTTTTTGCCACAATATAGATTTTATGTAAGTACCTTAAATATTTAATTAAATTAATAAAATATTTTTAACCGACTTCAAAAGGAGGAGTTTCTCAATTCGATTGGTATATTTTTTTCGATGTATGTACACCGATTACGTTGAGATTTATGATCCGATTTACGTGATTCTTATTTAGTTTAATGCGGAATAGTTGCCATTTGGTATCATTAAAATTTATCATAGTTTGGCCAAGTATTTTTCATTATATGAACATTTTTACAATATTTTAATGTTAAATCATCAAATCAAATCTTGCAAATTAAATTTGATCTACTTCCCGGTTACCGGTTGAGCTGAAATTTTGTATACATGTGTAAATCGCGAGACAACGCAATATTTTTATGACATGGTGCTGATCTAATGATGTAGCTGGAAGAAGGCCAAAGGAACTTCGAAATGAAACGACAGAGCCTCATCGCGTTTGAGTACATTTGAATCGTATTGACGAGTAGTTTGTCTTTTATTGGTAACCAGGATCTGATGATGCAGCTCTTCAGCCGTCCATGGACATATGCATAGGGTTGCAGATGCGTTTTCTCCTTATAATAAAGTTGGGCTCCGGCTACCTCACTCACCAGACAAATCGCAGAAGTACTTTACGCCGATCTTCTGTGAGGTCTATGAGGCTATTCTGTGAGGTTCCTACGACTACTTTGTAATGAAACTACTCAACCCCATTGATATACGGCTGGTTCGATTCGTCTTGGCGAGTACTTAATTTTTAGATGGTTACCAGGGTCAGATCTGATGATGGAACTGGAAGATAGTCATATGAAATCAGTAAAGAAACGACGCAACCCTATTGTATCTCGGCTCGTTTGATTCGTCATGACGAGTTCTTTGGTGCTAGATGGTAACCAGGGTCTGATGACAGAGCTAGAATGTGGCCATAGGAACTCAGAAATTAAGGAACACAACTGTGTCGAGTTTGATTCGTCTTAATGGGTGGACTGTTTTGATGGGTGGTGAGATGTGGTGGTTTAGGGAACGTGAGTATGCGAGACCATCTTTGGGAAATAAAGCTTGTTCGTTCCGTTTGTTATGAATTTGGATTCTGTCTTTGATTAGATGGATTATGAATGAATGAATGACTGAATAAATATTTTTTTTTTGTTATTTATGAACATTTTTTTTATGCGGACAATGTAATTTTATTTTGTGTACGGCTATTTTAGGACTTTTCATTTGGGTTAATTATATATTATTATTAACCCGTGTCCCGATAGTCCCGTCTTACGCTACTTGTCATTGAAGTGGAGTCAGCGTGCGGAGTAGAGGAATAGTGAATATTATAACCAATATGACTACATAAAATTTATTTTACGCGCGATCATTCATAACTAACACGCACACAAGTTTGTTTCAAAAGTATACGACGCATTTATGAATGACTACTGCATTGGCAACAAGTTTGTTGTTGTTTTTAGGGAATAGAATGCCAATTTTTTTAAAAACTAGTTTGTTTTTAATTCAATAAACCTCCTGTGTGAATTTGGGCACCTTTATAAAAGCCACCCTGTATAATATATGATAATAAAAAGTAACGAAATGTTACGAACAAAAAAGAATTTTGCAAATCCGTCTATATATGACGAAGGTATGCCCGAACATACCGACATAAAAAATATGAACATCCGAATTGATAACTTCCTTTTTGAAGTCGGTTAAAAATAAGTACCTACTTTTTACTTGTATCTATGATTATAAAAAATAAATTATAACTTTTTATCACTTGACCACGATTACGTGACTATACTACGAATGTACTATTAAGGACTTAAAATTTTAATCGTGAATAATATATTAGCTTAATATATTATAACACAATGATCGTAGCGAATTCAATGTTTCAAGCCGAAATTATATCACGTCATGAATTCGTATCTATTTTCTTGCCATATTGATATAAAGATAATAATAATAATAAGTTTTTTGGTTACACAAATTTGTTAGATAACACCGAATTTTATTGACAAAATTTGTCGCGGGCGAAAAGCTAGTATAAAATAAAGCTTCGATAGCTTATGAACTTTACATTGCCTTTGAAAAGGCTAATTTTTGCGAGGTAATGGATATTTTATTAAAAAAAACGTCATAGTTACGTCATTGAAAATTCTCCCCTTTGAAGACTCAATTTCTTTTCTTAAAATATTGCACATCATATAATATTATCATATCTAACGCAACAATGTTCACTGTTGCACGAATGGGCAGCTCCGAAAAGTAGAAGTGTTACACTGCCTGTGTTGCAAATGTCCATGGGTGGCGGTTAACTTAAGGTTAAATCAACTTAACATCAGGTGAACCGCCAACTTGTTCGCCACTTTCTCACATACAATAAAATGTTGATTCCAAATTGCAATAGAGAGGTCTTATAACAAAATTAGCAAAAAAGTTGAGCTCTGCCGCATTATCATACGCAAGATCAAGCAGCTGAATGATGAATTAACATGTTTAAAAAACAAGTGACATCTACAAACAACTTAGTGTCTGTGGATTTCAATTAATGACGATAAAAGAGCAAATTATTTCAACATTATGTAAAAGCAATTCCCATGGAAAGAGCCTATTATAATGACGAAGATTATATTGAGAAGAAGGGTGTTTGGAAATGACTCTTTCTCTGCACTTGCAAGTTCCCTGGCTTCTGCTAATTTTATACTTCGTATTTTATGTAAATAAAGGAGAAAACAGGGCTGCAGAGATGCTTGACAGTTCTTACTGGACAGGGCTAAATTAGTAAACTGGTAGTAAGTTTTTATGACGTCCAATAAGGGATTGAATAAAAATATTTTGACTTTAGCTTTTGACTTTGACGAATGCCACAAGGTTGGTGGAGAGTGCAACTTATTCAGAAGCCAAAATATTGCGATTTGGAGAAAAGCTTCAATTATGTGCATGAACCCAATGATCTATATTCGGGGTAGATATGACACTAGCGCACCGAAACTGAGGCACTCAAATTACGCCAATTGAGGTAATTAGATTGTATCTCTATAGACCGCTATCTCTTCGTATCACACCCGTTATATCATCTGTCACATTCACGTATATGTGTCATATAATCTAAAGCGGAACATTTTTTAAATGCCGCGCAGTATAGACACGCGTCATTTTTATTTAAAACACTAGCTGCTGCCCGCGACTACGTCTGCGTAGAGGGGTGAAAATTGAGGATTGTATGTATTTTTGTATGTTGTATCATAAAAAAATAGAAATTAAAAATTTTGTCTAAAAAATAAAAAATTAAATTTAGGGGTGGACTACCCCTAACATTTAGGGGGATGAAAAATAGATTTTGGCCGATTCTCATAGATACCGGATAAGCACAAAAAATTTCATCAAAATCGGTCAAGCCGTTTCGGAGGAGTATGGCAACGAAAACTGTGACAGGAGAATTTTATATATTAGATTGCACGAACCTGTTTGACATGTTGAGTACATACAGAACATTGAATATTAAACGTATCATGTTAACACTTGTATAAATATCTGTTCAGTTGTTTTGTTCGTTATTCTTTCCATCGCCATAATTTAAAACAAACGAAATGAATATCGAATTACTACACGTAGGTATTTCATATGGAATGGCGTTAAATAGTCTACATTTAATTGGAAATCATAATTTCAATTCCATGTACGATCGGTAGGTACACACTTAACCTCAACACCTGGGTAATAATCGATGTATGTTTTATAAAAGAAGGTATAGAAGGTAAAAAACCCTGACCTAAAAATAAAAATACAACAGTGGGAAGTTGATTCAATTGATTCAAGAGATACTTTGTTGGTTCGGTTGGCATAACTATTAAGTTGGTGCATTGTGAGTTCGACACCACAGAACATAGAATCAATGCACGTTGGACAACTTTATTTTCATAATATTAAAGTTGTCTTAAAAAAAAAACTTCGATTTGCCTTTGTGAAGAACTATATTATGGTAATAATGAAGTCTTCGAATAATTAATAAAAAAAAGTAAACTTTATGGTTTACAAAAAGCCTCGAAAACATAGGTTAAGACAAATATCATCTATGACGAAATAATAAAGATATTTATAAGACAGTGGTCATTTATTATATAATTCTGAATTAAGGTATGTGACAAATGAAAGGGCAAAAATCACATGGTTTTATCATTTTTTGTTTCATTATTTATCATTCAAGAAATCGATAGGTTGTAATTGAAATTTTTCAGCTACATAACGCATAAGTAATTTTAAATGCGTAAGTGATAGTATCGGGCTTTTTGTAAACCGTTATAAATAAATACATTAAAGTTTTTAATGAACGTATTAATACAGCAGCTAGCAACGTCGGAAAAACAAGAATTTTAGAAAAGCTGGTTCTCTCATATATCTTTCTCAATGCCTTCCGAACAGCGTGCAGGATACCTTGACCGCCAGTAAACGTTGCATTTATTAACGCGTAATATTTTTTCTTTTTCACCAACTTCTAATAACGTTTAAAAGTCAGTGACTATATTATTTTGAGTGAATTTTAAACAGTTAATAATATTATACAATGTCTAAATTTTTGTTCTCTATTTTTTTTAGTTCTTCCAACGTCGTTGTTAGCTGTTGTCCTAAAACGTTCATTAAAACTTTAACGTTCATTTCACATTAATGAAGGACATGCAACAAGTTAGATTCGAAACTGAAACGTCACCGCCTTCTACTAATCAACACAAGATTTTAATTTCAGACTATGTTAAAAATACAACTGTAAACCACGTAGACGTATTATATCCCACTTCAGAAGACCTCACGGGGTCTGTACTGGCCCTCACTCGCCTCCAGGTCACTTATCAACTCGATATTGGGGAACTTTCTGAAGGACGACTTAACGGCGTAAATTCCAGGTACGAGTAACTAACACTTTCCCAATCTATCGTATACTCGCTTAATCTAAAATCTATTCCAATCCATCCAAACAGTCGAACATTACTCGTACGTACTTCTGTAGCAAAGACTAAATGAGTTGCCCGACCGATGAGCACAAATTACTTGTAAAGGTAGTTTAATTTCAATATAAACGATGTCTTGATCATTATTTCTCATTTTTCTAAGGTGGATTTCTTTTTTCATATCTATATTCCTAAAACCTATAATTCAATGTACGACGAAAGTAGTAATTCAAATTATTCAACTGATCCTATATCAGTGCAGCACGCAGTGCCAATAACGCTGGGTTCGAAACGTCCGCATTTAAAAACTAGTTTCACGCGGTTAAATACGTAAAATAGTTTCGTTTAATAATCTATAACGTTCGCGTAAAAACAAGAAATCAAAATATATTATCTTAATCTGTCCAATCCATCCATAACAGTCGTATATTACGCACCATTTAGTCTGACAAGGTCTCATTTTTGCAAGAATTGCACAGAAAGATAAGATATTTCGCTTCGACATCGAAAACAGTACCGTATTAAAACCAGCATTTGTACTAAGTAACAACGAAGAGTGCGCGATAAAGCCAAATACGGCAAATATGGCATACAAACAAGAAACCGAGATTGTCAAGATTCGGATGAACAATCAGAACCGTAGTTCTATTTGCATCATAAACACGCTTTATACGAATGGATAAGCAGCAAGCGTAATTTAGCAGATACTTAGGTACTTTATTTGGTCTGCGTAATTGCTTGCATTTAACAGGTAAACTACATTTATTATGAAAACGATTGCGACTTCAAGAAATACCAATGGAGAACCCGCACAGAGGTGTACAATACCATACTAGAACGGCCCGAATAGTAATTACATAGTGTTGTCGTGCATTTAGCACTTTTTTTATTAAACCAACAAAAATGGCATAAATTAGCTTTTGCACGTATATTACATATTTTTCTATATTATATCTTCGCGTGTATAACCATGTTTATCATTAAATAGTATAAAACAAAGTCGTCCCGCTGTCTGTCTGTCCCTATGTAGTCTTAGATCTTTAAAACTACACAACTATTGTACATGTCCATGAGCGGCGGTATTCACTTAACATCAGGTGAAACGCTTGCTACAACTTTTCACATAACAAACGATGGTGGGGAAAAAGTCTTCTCGTATTTTTACATACTAAAGATTTTTTTTTGGTGTGGTCGTTCATCATACAGAAAAAGTCTTTGGTCTCTCAGCAAAAAGCTCAGGTTGGGAAGTTTTAATGTGTTCACTATATAGCTCTGATCTTGCACCCGCAGTCCCGTTTCGTCTCTTCAAAACTCAACGTAAAGAGAGGAGTGCCAAAAATACTTGTCGCATTTTTTTTAACAACCGTCGGAAAAATTCTACAGCTACGAGATTATGTCACTGCCCACCAGATGGCAACAACTTATCCAACAAAATGGATCTTAATATAATGAAATGTAGTTAAACTTTGAAAAAAAAATACATTGAATTTGTATATAGAATACAAGTAAATTTCTTCCCCGACTGCATACAAAAGTTGATGGATATTGCTTTCCGGATGAGAAACGAGCTGAATTAGTTGTGAGTGATTACCAATATCCATAAACAACCACAGGAAAGTATTGTTTTTCCGACCTTTTAAAGTAGATCACTAGAAAAACTAAGTAGGTATAACCTTTTCGTTTAATCCGATCTTCTTAGAGGCGATGGTGCTTTTCTAGACGAGCCGCCCCATTATGCAGCATGTTTGTGCTAAATTAAAAAGTTGAAGATTGTCTTAGTTTTTGGAAAATTCTCTTAATCTCTGTTGCAACAATAGTTCACATATCGTAGCACGCCATTGACTACCAGCGACTGCTACGAGATTGGGCGTACGTTATACAACGAAAAAGACTATCGCAACTCATTGCGATGGATGCTTGAGTCGCTGCGCAAATTAAAGAGCGGAGACGATTTGTACAATGTGACGGAGGTCGACATTCTTGAGTACATAAGTTATACTCACTATCTATTAGGTAAGTAATCTTTAAAAAGTTTCAGCGATAACAATTACGGGTCATTTCTGTTACAAATAAAATTCAAATCATTAAGGATCGGTCAGACGTGGACGGGGCGGGCCAGCGACGCGTCGCTGACGGGACGGCGACGCGATGTGGAAGTCACACTGGCGGCGGGGTGCGATGGCGGTCGCGTCAGCGTCTGACCGGCTGTCCCCATGAGCGTGATTTTTCAAACTTGTCGAGCAACAAGATGTCAAGTGATTTACATTCTTCCACATTTTTGAACAAGAAGTGCAAGCGGTATTGCTATTGATTAAAATCAAAGGCGTCATGAATTTCGAGAATATCACAGACTCTGCCTGGAACTGTAATCACACTCGAATCATACAAATAAAGGTTGCCTCGAACAATCTCAATTCTCTTCTTTTCTTTCTTCATCTTTTCGTTGTCCATTTTTGTAATTAAACACCTTGTTCCCGTTCCGCTGTGTATTACACTACTAAAATGAATACTCCTAAAACATAACGCGTCGCGTCGCACCCGCACCCCGTCCCGTTGGGCTCCTGTTGTATTCGCGACGGGCGCGGCGGCGTGCGACTTGACGGTGTGATATATTTTTAGTACATTACGACTCGTCTCAACGCGCCAGCGTTCCGTCCCCGTTCCGCCCCGCCCTCTGTCTGACCAAACCATTGGAACTTGGGCGAACGAGATTATCTCGGTGTTTTTAGAGTTCCGTACTGAAAAGGTAAAACGGAACCCTATTACTAAGACTCCGCTGACTATCTGTTGTTTCTGTCCGTCTGTCACCAGGCCGTATCTCAAGAACCGTGAAAGTTAGACAGTTGAGATTTTCAAAGATGCGGTCTGTTGCCGCTATAACAACAAATACTAAAAAAACAGAATCAAAAAATATTTAAGCAGGGTTCCCATACAACAAACATGTTTTTTTTTTTTGCCTTTTTTATAGATAATGGTACGGAACCCTTCGTGCGTGAGTCCGACTCGCACTTGACCGGATTTTTTTTCAATAAAATCGTGTTTTCAGGTTTTACTCGATAAGACCATTTGTATACGGATAATTTCATAGAGTGCCATCTCTGAGTTTCAATATTATACATTAGAAGATTAAAAATATAAGATAAAAGGTAAAACACGACTTACAAATACATGTACCCCGCCTAAAGCGGACATTGTATCATCATCAATTGTAAAATAAATATTAGGGAACAAAAATGCTAAAACATAAAAATCGGGCAAATTAGATTTTTTTGTATATGGTAATTATCGTACAGTGTGGAAACCAAACGAAAAAACAATCTTAAAACGAGTCGCTAGGTATACAGTTTACTCTTCAATGCCACTTAAGCTCAGTAAACCGTCGATTGTACTACTTTTTCGTGTGTATCTAGCGTAAATCTGATGGTGAGAGTTTTATTTCATTGTGTTCGTAATATATAATCTTTATCAAGGTAAATAAAAATGTTTTATCTTACAGGAGATATTCAAACAGCTTTGGAATGGACTAAAAAAATTTTGCTACTGGATCCTGTTCATTCAATTGCGCTTCAAAACGTGGGTCATTACCAGAAAATTCTTGAAGAAAGAAAAGAACTTAAAACACGAGGAGAGGTGAGAGAACAAAAAGGATATTATATAAGGAGAGCATGATTGCTGTAATGTTCATTTCATCAACTCTACTGTTTAACTGCATCGATTAAGTATTTATAGCAATTGCTTAAGCGATGCTGATTAACTTTGAAAAAAATACTTTGCATATTAGGCTGTGTTCTTTTAAAATGGTCTCGACTGCGCTATTATGGTTCTAAAAGTCAATGGTGTTAAAATGTTGTGTAACTGCACCGTCAATTCATTGATATATTTTTCACGTAGGGGACTGTTGATGAACATTCACCGTCATCAAACTTGCTCGATGAAGACACAAAAAGAACATATGAAGCTCTGTGCCGAGGCGATATCGATGTTCCGAAAGAAATACAGAAGAAGTGTAGTACTTTATCATGTAGAGTGAGTGTTTTATTATAATGGCATTATCTTTGGGAATAGCAGGTGTAACAAATTTTAATAGTGAGTGAAATAGGTCTGACAGAAACGAATAGGTGTTATTTAAGAGGGAGAGCCGAGCACTTCTACTAATAATGTGTTAACAAGTATTTATCTATCCTTATTTTTAAGAATAAGGTTTTTCATTTACTTCATTACTTTTTTTGGAAACTTTAACCATTATTGTCTACTAGCTGTGCCCGCGATTTCGTCCGCGTGGAATTTAAAATAAAAAAACGTTACTTCATTATTACATCAGCTATCTGCCAATGAAAGTCGCGTCCATATCAGTCCAGACGTTTCAGTGATTAGCCGGAACAAACAGTCTTTTGGTATGTGTACCGTGTATACATCCATATGCATTTAGTAAAAAGCGGTTATGTTAATATTACAAACAGACACACCAATTTTATTTATCTGTATAAGTAAGGTTTGAATACTTAAATTGGATGAAGAATTATGGAATTTAGATCATTCCGACAAAAAAAAAAGTCTTTGGGCAAAAATATTTCTAGAGATAACAAGTATTAATCCATAAAAGGAACCTTATTTCGTAGAATAAGGTTTTTCATTTACTTCGCTACCTTTTTATAGAATCGTAATAAGCTTCACTGCCTATTTAAAACAAAACAATATCGGCAAACATAAGCTTTAAAAGATGTTTCAAATATGTTTAATTTTATTGGATGAAGAATTATGGAATTTATGGCGTTCCGACAGAAAAACGCCATAGAGATATATGATATTTATAGAGATAAATTTAATAGATAAACGATTCCCGAAAAAGATGGCCCAAAACTTTAAAGGCTTATATTTTGAAATCAATCAAACAAATATTAATAACGAACACAAAAAATAAATATTAGAGGAATTTTATACTTTTAAAAGCAAATAAATAATAGATCACACATCTGTTTACACAGGTTGAAATGCTCCTATCTTACGGAAAACCACCCATTCCTAAAGTTGGCACCGATAAAGATGGAAAAGATGTACGATGACCCCGAAGTCATCGTGTTCCACCAGGTGATGAGTGACGAGGAGATCGAGCACATTAAGAATCAGGCCAAATCTAAAGTAAGTGGTTATTTAATCAGCATTAAAAGTACGTTAATAACATATTTATAAGATTTTCATCAATATTCAATGTCAGGAATATCTGATCTCCTTGCTCGACGTACTAGTCTAAATGCAATTTACCACCGAGGATAAGATATCTTTCTACGTCGAAGCCTCCAGAAAATCCGGTATCGGGACTCAATGCCACAATTGTTGGCATTACGACCATATCTTCTAATAAATAAAAATATATTGTATTTCGTGTAAGCCGTAATAGTGTCCAGGAACTCGTTTTTAATTCGATGCACTCATCGAGCAAACTGATTTCAAATCCCTGGCTCGGATAAAAGTATTTTAATCACAATTTTAATTGCTGACTCGTGAAGTGCTAAACAGTGAAGAAAAACTTCGCAAGGAAATCGTAGTAATAGTGAAAATATTCGAAATAATTCGAAGATATGAGAAGTCTGCCAATAATAGAATGTTACTTTACTTATTATTTTTGTTTGGGAAAAGTCACAAGTTGCGATAGGTGTCTTTCGCGACCATTCGCAAGAGACGTAGACCACGAATCCCTCCTTCGCAAACTAGATTATTATGGCAAAATTAGTATTAAAATTGTATTTCCTGTAGCTTACTCGTGCCGGAGTCAACAACCCAGCCACAGGTCAGGCAATTCCCGCACCCTATCGCATCAGCAAGACAGCGTGGCTCCGCGACGATCTGTCACCGGTGGTGGCGCGCGTGTCCCAACGTGTATCCGACTTCACGGGGCTCACCATGAGCACCGCAGAGGACCTGCAGGTGGCCAACTACGGCATAGGCGGCCACTACGTGGCGCACTTGGACTACTATCGGGCAAGTATTTGAATACGATTGTCTCTTCATAGTACAATACATGGCGCTCAAACTCAAATCTCCCTATGAAGGATCTACTAAGTTTATTAAGATAACATCAGAAAGGTTACATGCAGATAGTTGAGTATTGTCTTTTTATTTTATTTTCTCACTTGTATCGTAATCTACCTAAACTAGACGCATACTTGAAACGTCCCCTAAGAAGTTTTACGTCAAAATATGGATAATTATACAGTTAGTGTAATTATAATTACCAATTTTTATGTATGTACATAATGAAGTTAACATGGACAAACTTAATCGCATTTATGACCAATTTATCAGCACCATGAATCTCATACTTCGTAACTGTTAAATTAATTATAATAAATGTTAAAATAATAAATTAATGACTGCCTTATGCTGGATTAACCGAAGCAGTTTAAATTCCTTTTTTCAGGATGTTGACTCCATTTTCCTACCCCCAAGTGGACAGAGAGTTGCTACGGTCTTGTTCTATGTAAGTACACAGCCTGTGTCAGAAGCGTTTGCCGAGATAAGCTAAGCTATTAAGGGATTTATCTTAAGGATTAAAACGGTGATGTCACAAAATATTATATATTACCTTTTCATCAACGTAGTAGCGATTTATGTGATTGCAAGATTAGCGCTATTCATAGAAATTAATAACACCGAAGTGTATGCAAATGTTGTTAAACCTTCAGCAAAGAAAACCCTGTCTTTCTAAAACTGGGAAAAGTTGCCTTCCCTTACAATAACTAGCTTCGTCGTTTATGAACAGATTTTGATGATACTTTTTTTGTTGGAAAGGAGATATATGGTACCATAATAAGGAAACCCAGATCTGATGATTTCATCCCAGAGAAATCGAAGGCAATCCTCAAATCTTATAGGTAATAACAATGTTTTTTTTTTTTTAGTTTCCAGTTTGAAGTCGGTTTTTTTTTTCTTGTTAAAAATTATAGATAACTTTGATGTAAACAACTATGTCAATAAATAGTGTAATTATTTCTCTGAAGAGATTTCATAATTCTTCTTTTTATTAGGTGCTACAGTCTTAATAGACTGATCGTGTCTGTGGAGGTCTTGACCCTTTTCTCGATCCGTTTATTAAATAACATAAAAATTGACTTTACAAAACTTCACTATCAGGAGCAGTAATAAACTCGTCGCATCTTAACGTTTTTACGTCTATATCTGCTTAGGGTGTCTAAATCTGCTGTCGTAGATGTCGGAAGTGGCGCAAGGCGGGGCGACGGTGTTCACCGACCTCGGCCTGAGCGTGTTCCCGATAAAGAATGCGGCCTTGTTCTGGATGAATGTGCTCCCCTCGGGCGAGGGTAACGAAAGGACCCGTCACGCCGCCTGCCCTGTGCTGCGCGGCTCCAAGTGGGGTACGTCTCACAGGCAAACTGATACTTAATTTATATTTAAGATTATCACGGTGTAGTTATTACTGCATTGATACTCATCCTAGTTTATTAGAGAGAACTAAATAACTATTATAATTAATTACTGATTGAGTTTTGTTACAGCATCTAATAAATGGATACATCAAGTCGGTCAAGAGCTTATTAAACCATGTATGATTCAACCTAAGTAACCGCTCGGAAAAGTCGAAAACCGGTGGGTCTAACGTCAAGATAAATAATAGTCAGTGCTAAGTAAGAAATGTAGGTAATTACGAAACTCTCTTTAAGGCATGTTTTGCATTCCTGTTTCCTTTATTTCTTTGAATAATTTAAAGTATTGCGTTCCATAATATAAAACTATTTAAATTTAATAGCGTTTTATTTTATGATAACCTCACAGCGCAATCACAAGTGACTTTCTAAAGGACCCACAAATGGATATATACTTCCAGGCGGTATAAACACACTCGCCTTCGAAGCGCCGCCATTGGTTCATTGGTTTCAACAATTGAATCCGTGAAAAATAACAATATACTTTACACGGGGTGACCCTAGTATCAATTACACCAACAACACCCGCCCACACAACCAAGCTAACTAGAGCAGAAAGTTAGGTTATAACTCTTTACAACACACCGATCCCTTGGGAGTAAAATTTGATTATACAGCGTGTCTTTACAATCACGACAATAAATAAACACACATATAGAGGACAACTTGTATTAAACATTTACATTCTTTAAACATCAATATTTACCGAGCTATAAAATTTTCCAAAACAAACAATATTAGAACATCCTTACGTATAAAACTGTAACGTAAAGTTCATTTGTAAAGGTCACAAAGTATATGAATGGGTTGAATGAATTAGAGACAAAACATACTGTTAGTAGGAGAGGCTTGTGGCAACGAATAAAAAAGTCTCTGAATGTATGAATCAGTAATTTGTACTTGTATAGGTGTTACAAATTTTGTTTCTTTTTTACTTAATTAGTTTGTTTGAAAAATTTTTTTTTTTAATTATGGATTTTTTTACGTTAATATTTATTTATGATTATTGGCAAGTAGCGTTTGACGTGTGTTCATTTATTATCGCGGTGGTAACGACACGCGGTATACTTGTAAATATTACGGGTTACATTCGAAGCCGACTTGTCATTCCGTACCCGCATAGGTAAGTAACGTAATAAATAAGGCGGCCCAACTTTACTATTTCACTAACTATTCAAGAAAAATGTCATTACGACATATACTTTAACTGTACTGAGCCTGTATATGTCCCCCATAATGTCAGACGTTTGCATGTTTAATGCGCATTCAACACCTGAAGAAGCTTCTGGTATAGCAAAATAAATTCATCCGCATTGCAACTAGCGCAAGGTTGTATCAATGAAATTACTGACAGATAGCAAAAATTTCAGACAAATTGCAAAAATATCACCCCATTCTCTATGAGTTGATATTTTTTTGCAAAAAGCAAATTTCCAATCAAACACTAACGCGACCAAAACATTGTCCGCCTGATATCCCCATTGACCCGGTGGAAAGAGGAGAAGAAAGTGTTCCTGACTTACTGGGGATCCGGCCCGACGACATATAAATATACGTCAATTTATTATCTAGCCGCGATAGTCCTCAATGTCGGGGCGCTCGCCTTAATTCCATATACTCGAGCAACCTGAGTTCGATCCCGGTGCCGGCACCAATGAAATTGTTAACTTTAAGTGCTGAATTACCCTGTGCTTAACGGTGAAGGGAAACTTCGTGAGGAAACCTTCATATTTTCGAATATAATAACAAAAAAAATATTTCGAAAATATGTGAAGTCCGCCAATCCGCAGTGGCGCTGCATGGTGGACTATGCCATCAGAGCATAGTCCACCACGCAGAACCCTCTGTACAGAGGAAGCCTTTGCCCAGCAGTGGGACATTTATAGGCTGTTACTTTACTTTTTTTTATGATCTATAAGACATAATTAGTCGATGTTGACAGAATTAGTCGTTTCAAGTTTTTATTTTCTATGATAACAAGTTATAATTGAGTTTAATGTGAGTAGTTATAGAATAAGTTATTCTGAATATCGTTAGTCGGTGTTAGGTTGCATTTTATTTTCAATAAATCACTCCATGCAATTCAAACATTTTGATACTAGGTAGACATCTTATTATAATTAAAATACTTTCAAAATATTCAAATCATCAGAAAACCTTTAAAACCTAAAGTGGAGTAAATTTAATACATTCAAGAAAATCGTTTATGAAATTGTTGAAGAAAATGGGACACGCAATAAATGTCGTGAGAGGAAAAACGAAACGAACCTTAGTCGAAAAGCCTACGAATTAAAATCCTTATGGAACATGGTATCAAAGGCTTAAGACATTTTTGAAGTACGTCTGGTACGTAAAATTTTACTTTTATTTTTTTAAGTTTAGATAGTACAGGTATTGGTGTCAAATTCAGTCAAATTTTCTTTACCTGTTTTATGTATCGGATTACTTAAGCTTTTATACACAGCGCGATTGGTTATTATTCGCTTTAAATTTACGCATTTGACTTCAGTTATAACAAACAAAGCCTCGCTATTACTTTCAAATTCTCTTAGAGGTTTTAAAACTGCTATCAAACTCTTCCATCGTTTTGTGCGGGAAGTCGATGGATGCAGGTGGCTCAGGATCGTACTTCATGGCAGTCTGTGGGGGAGGCCTATATTCAGCAGTGGACTTAAACAGGCTGAAATGATGATGATGATGGTTTAAGTATATTTATAGAAGTACAGAAAGCTAAAATTGGCCATAGGCCAATAGTATAATTATAGTAAATATCATCATAAGTTAAGAATTAGTTGCAATTGATGCAATATTTATTTTTTGTACAATTTTTAATATTTATGCCTTTTAACAATTGAAAAAAAGGGACGCACGTTTTTGTACGAGCTCTATCTCACGTAGTAGCGAAATTGTACTTAAGGTGCGATTTTAATAGCTTATATTTTTGTATGACACAAGTTCTCATGTATGTTATGGCCATTAATACAAGGTAATTATATGGTTAATTGTCGCCAGTATTACCACTTTAACAGTTGTCACAGGTCGCTACTTTGTCATTTTCCCAAGTGACATTTCATTACTTTTTTCAATATCAAATGTAAGTTTTCATTACATTCTATACTTAAATAATGTTATTTGAATCAAAAGAAAAGCTGTGCAAAATAACACTTATAATTTAGAGACATATGTTTCCATTGTAGTTTTCTTAAAACAAATTCTTTCATGTTACGCTCTTCTAACATATTGTCTTTACCGCGTAATTTAATATTGAATTGGCCTATTGAATACATGGTCATGATAATCATACTGATATCTGTCTTCTTACTACAATAAATAAAAATCTATAAGACCGCTTCTACTAATTTTCTACTAGGTATTGACCTATTAGAAAACTGACTGTTGAGTGTGTTTTATTTAATGTATTTTTGTAAGTCGTTGTTCCTAAATGTGTAGATGTAAGTGTTAAATACTTTGACCTGCTTTGTGTAAGTGTTAAATACTTGATGACAGTCCTTTATATTTACCTTTATATTCCTTTATTATTATACTTCATATTTATTTTTATTTTTATTGCTTTACATTTCATTTCGAGGAGATTCCTGATGTATCTCCGGATTACAACGTCCAATACCAATGAAATTAATATGAGACCATATGGGAGTTATAGCGAACCCAATATAAAATGGAATTATTTTATAGCAAAAATGGCAAGCGATCAGGCGGTCCACATGATGTTAAGTGACTACCGCCACCCATCTACATCTACTACGCCTGACGGGTTGTAGAGGCGCTCCAAAATATTAAATAAGTGTGCCCCGGTTCCCTCGCGCAGATGAAACATGAAAGTAAATACTTCCACTTCGCTTCGGTCTTCTGGGAGACTATGGTACTTCCCCGGATGAGCCTGCCCATTCGTGCAACAGCAGAAGCTGCTGCGTGGCCCTACCACTGTGAATTTTTAAAATCAGTTGATAAATGACTGAGTTGTTACAAACATTGAAAAAAGAATACAACAGAATCGAGTACCTCCTCCTTTTTTGTAATCGGTTGATAAATTAAAAATTTACATTTGTAGTACATTAGTTTTCCTTTTCTGTTCCAGGACGTGACAGTTGCCAAAATGGATTCCCAGTTTTTGCTTAGTATTATTTTCGTCATTATGACACTAGACTTATGGCTGTGGACTCAAGCGGAACTGTTTACAGCCATTTCAGATTTGGAACCGTTGTTGTACACGCACAGGAGAACCATCGTAGATTTAGACGATTACATTTCCAAAGAGGAGAAAAGACTAGCTGTTTTGAAAAAGTCCATACTTTTCTTATTACATTTTTATGAAAATTGGCCGTAACCAAAAGATCAAATCTTAGTCAATTAGATAAACTTACGTTTTACCAACTAGTAGGCATTGGGTACAGTCTATCACGCAAAAGAAAATTAACCTATAGCACAAATGATTTAAAGTTCTTAATTGTTGTCAAAACAGTTACACCTATGAAATAGGAAGTTGACCTCAGTTTACTTATTAATGAAACAACACAACTTTTTAGGCATTTGAATCTCTACAGGAATGAGCACATTTTGGCTATGGATGATGTTTCATATTACTTAGGAAATCCGATCAATGCGTTTACTCTCATTAAGAGATTGACAAAGGATTTAGACTTTATCGAAAAGAACCTTATTGTTGGAACAAGTGAGTATATGTTTTACTCATTTTAATGTTACTCTAATATAAAATTAAGAACTTAAAATATTTTAATCACGAGTTGTCCCTATAGATCAGTGATTCTCAACCTTTTTTTGTTGCGGCACATATTTAACGATTTCAAAATTTGGCGGCACACAAAGAAAAAATACAAATTATTTACTTACTACAACACACTGCATAAATAGTTTATGACAAAAATTTTAAATATACGAAATAAACTAATATATACTACAATAATAACTAAACCTTTATTAAGGGATTAATTACAAGCTAATAATAAAAATATTTTTAATGCGAAATTTGAGCTTCATGTTTTTTGATAATTTCATTTATATTTGGTCGTAAAAATGACAATGCTACTCTCATATCGTCTTCTACATTTAACAATCTTGATCTTTTTTTAGTTTTAATGTTGGCTAATGCCAAAAAATATTTTTCTTTTTAAATGATATAATTTAATAATATTAACATTACTATATATATGAAAACTTTGGCGGCACACTTTTGAAATTTGGCGGCACACAAAAGTGCCGCGGCACAGTGGTTGAGAATCACTGCTATAGATAATAGCGTAGTATAATATATAATATATAAAATACGATGATTGTTGCGGACTTAATATTTCTGGATGATCTCGCCATGGATACGTATTAATTTTCTAGTCTCAATGTAGTAAAGATAATATTTATTTATTTATTTTACATTACTAATGAAACTATGTTTAGGGATTTTTCACGTTTAATAAAGTTTTATTTCCCGTCGTTTCGAACTCTTTACAGCGTTCATGGTCACGGAACGACTGAGGCATTGGACTTCTGAGTATTATTATTAATCCGGGCTAAAGTTTTTTAAATTATAAGTTTTTGCGTCGATCTATGCAAAACATGCTAATTTTATATTGTCTTGTAGTAGTGCTTCGTTTAGGATTAGACAAAATTTTATTAATAATAGAATCCCAAGCTGATTGTAGCACCCAACCTTCTTCTCTATTGATATTAGGGTTAGGGTGTATGTTAATTTCAATGCTCGCGAATCATCCTTGGGAGGAATCGCACGCAAAGCGCACTGAAACTGAGGCAATAAAAATACGCCAATTGGCGTAATTAGATTTAAATTCTAAAGACTGCTAGCTCTTAATTTCCGTACGATACGTTCTATATCATCTGTCTTATTCATTTTTATATGTCATATAATGAAAAGCAGAACAATTTTTAATCGCCGTGCAGTAAGGACATGCGTCATCTTTATTAAAATATCATCATTGGAGAAAGTGTATGCTCGGATTCGGAACTACTTTCTGGACCACACAACGTTTTCTTATCCTAGCAGTTGAATCCACAACGGCGCACAATGACAAAAGTTCATATGACCATTTAAAATGTTATCTGCCGCGTAACCGATTTCGAAAATTGACTGTATTACCATTTCGTGAGTAAATATAATATTATTTCGTATGTCGTGACACATTCTAACATTCATTTAAGATTATTACACCAAGTTTAACTGTTATGAGCGGACACGTTTTACGTACCTACGTTTTGTGTATCAAATAGAAGGCGCCGTACTTCATTTACAAGTATATCCTTGATGATACAATTTATTTTTTTCACGTGTTTTACAGATACGCAGACGTCAAAATTTTTCATTTTGCTGGATTTGTTCAACTTAAACATAGAATTATAGAGATATATTACTTTCTGATTAGGCTGCTGCACGAATGGGCAGGCTCGTCCGGGTAAGCCGGTTTAGCAGATGTCTATGGGCGGCGGTATTCACTTAACATCAGGTGAACCGTCCGCTCTCTTGGCAACTTTTCACATAAAAAAATACGTTTATTAATGACTTGTTTTCTGGCTAGATTTGAAACCCAACCATCACTGTCACTCATAAATTAATACCATTTTTTAATTTTCAGATTATGTTAAAAATACCACTATAAACCACGCAGACGTGCTGTATCCAACTTTAGAAGACCTCACGGGATCTGTATTGGCCCTCACACGCCTCCAGGACACTTATCGCCTCCACGTAGGGGAACTTTCTGAAGGACGACTTAACGGCGTAATTTCCAAGTACGAATAGCTTTACTATTTCAATTCCCAGTCTAACATATATTAGCTTAGTCTCACAACCAGTCCAAACCATCCGTAACAGACATTTTAGGCATATTACGCACCATTTAGTCTTCGGTACAGACTAAATCGATCACGCGTCTCATGAGTACAAATTATTTATTTAATTAATTTTATTTTAATGTAATAGGTTGTGTCTACAGAACATGAGTATAGCCCAACTTGACATACTTGTCACGGTCAATCGGTATTTATTAAAACTCATCAATAGGCAACAAGTACATATAGAACATGCAAGCGAGACACCGTGGTGACCGCGAGAACCATCGAGAATACACTGAAACATGATGGAAAAGTAGCAGTCGTAACTATTTCGTCAAGAATACTCGAGTTTTGGAGCGCCATCCATGATTGTGGCACGTCTAGGGCAAAGTATTCAGAAAATAAGCTACGAATCCAGATACAAATGATTTTCTGTTGTTAAAATACGCTAGCTATATCAGACGATAACTGCAAGAAATGCCAATGGAGGACCCGCGCAGAGGTGTCGTCCGCAGATGCTCGAACGGTCCGATTAGTAGTTACATAGTGTTGTGTTGAGTTGCAGTGCATTTAAACCAACAAAAATCATTTGGTCTTGCACACTGCGTTTTTGCACATCCATACATTTTTTTTTTCGATATTATTTCTTCGCCTGTATAACCAATGTGTACAATGTGTTAAAATTAAAATTTTAGCACCTGCTATTATTAAGCACTTGCTCCAGTGTTGTGGATATCCATCGGCGGCGGTAATTACTTAACGTGAGGTAAAACGCCTGCTCGCTTTCCAACTATGATAAAAGTAAAAATAATAATCTTTAATCAAATATCAAAAAAAGATTTTACTTTTTCAGAGGAGCCAAGCAACCGGCGACGTCGTAAGTGAATAAATACGAATTTACTAGACATATATTTTTATATGGCTGAAATGATAAGTACAGTATATTAGTAGCACGGAGTAGTAGGAAAAAATAGGTAAAGTTTATGTAAAGAAGAAGTGTAGAAAGCTAAAATTGTTACATGTGCTAAAAATGCATAAAATAAAATAAAATAAATGTTTCTTTGTAGACATTCACACTGTCTATGGCAAATATTGTTTTTATATGAGATCTTTTAACTTTTTGGTAGAACATAGGAGTCTGCGGATAATAATAAATAGTTCATCAAATTGAAAATTACGGTCGAACTTCGACCAGTGGATACTTCGCAATTTGTTAAATGATTAAAACTAATTAAATACATCTAATTATCCCTCTAGTGTTGTAAATATCCATGGGCGGCGGTATTCACCTAACATCAGGTGAAACGCCTGCTACAACTTTTCATATAGAAAAGGTGGGGAATAAGTCTTCTCGTATTTTGTATATACAAGAGATTTTACTACAAATTCTTACATATGAAGTTGTAATACAATCTCTTTAGTTGTACTATTTGTATTGTGTACTGTTAAAGATTGTCTTAGCTTTTGGAAAATTCTCTTAATCTCTGTTGCAACAATAGTTCACATATCGTAGCACGCCATTGACTACCAGCGACTGCTACGAGATTGGGCGTACGTTATACAACGAAAAAGACTATCGCAACTCATTGCGGTGGATGATCGAATCTCTGCGCAAGTTCAACAGCGGAGACGATTTGTACAATGTGGCGGAGGTCGACATTCTTGAGTACATAAGTTTTACTCACTATCTATTAGGTAAGTAATTTTTAGAAATTAAATATATTTTTTTTATTTCAATAAAATCGTGTTTTTAGGTTGTATTACTCGATAAGACCGTTTGTAGACGGATAAATTCATAAAGTGCCATCTCATAGAGTGGTACCAATAGACATCCAATAGCTGCGCGCGGCCCTAACTATTCTGGATTAGAAGAATTCTATACTAGGTTAAAGATATAAGATAAAAGGTAAAACACAGCTTGCAAATATATGTACCCCGCCTAAAGCCATTCTCTTTACAAAGGGAGTTAAGACATAGTCCGCAGGGCGGGCATTGTGTCATAACATCATCAATTGCTAAATAAATGTTGGGGAAGAAAAATTTAAAATATAAAAGAAACAGTATAACGCCAGTTAAAGAGCTTATCCTTCAACGCTCCTTAAGAAATGTTGATTATACTACCTTTCCGTATGTGTGTAGGGAATCATTACCGTAAATTTAAGTAAATAATAAGAGCTTTGTTTCATTGTGTTCGTTCTAATCTTTAAATTTACCGTGTTTTTTTTATTATAGCATTTATGATTCCTATTTAATCATTTAACTTTAAACAATACGTCACGTTCTTATTGACTTTTAAGCCTGATTTCAAGTCCATGAAAGGTATTCTGTAAATGTTTTGCAAACTTTTAAAGGTACAGTTACCTATACCTACCTTCTTAGCAATAAGCCACCACGGAAGCAATTTTCATTCCGAAATTTATTAAAATAAAAGAAATTTTTTCTTACAGGGGATATTCAAACAGCTTTAGAATGGACTAAGAAAATTTTGCTATTGGATCCTGTGCATTCAAATGCGCTCAACAACGTGGAGTATTTCCAGAAAGCTCTTGAAGAAAGAGAGGAACTTAACAGACGAGGAGAGGTAAGAGGATAAAAGAGTAAGAGTTGTTGTAATTAACATCACAGCAGTCAGTGCTGTGATGTTAATTACAACAACTCTATCAACCGTATCGATTAAGCATTTGTTATTCTGGTTTACTTTGAAAAAAAAAATCTCGTATGTGTTCTAATAGTTGTAACATTCGATAGTGTTAAAATTACGTCACTACGTCAATTAATTGAAATATTCTTCACGCAGGTTTTCACTACTGATGAACATTCTTCATCATCAGACTTACTCGATGAAGACACAAAAAGAACATATGAAGCTCTGTGCCGAGGCGATATTGAGGTCTCGAACGAAATACAGAAGAAGTGAGTACTTAATTAAACGGCAGTATCGTTTGGGATGGCAGTTGTAACAAATTCTAATAATTAGTGAAATCATCTTGACAGAAACGAATAGGTGTTATTTCAGAAAGAGCCGATTACTTCTACTAAAAATGTGTTAACAAGTATTTATCAATAATAAGAACCTTACTTCAAAGAATAAGGTTTTTCATTTACTTCGCTACCTTCTAATGGAAACCTAACCTCTACTGCAGTGATTCTCAACCACTGTGCCAAATTTCAAAAGTGTGCCGCCAAATTTTGCAAATATATAATAATATTATTATATATTAATATTATTAAATTATATCTATCATTTAAAAAGAAAACTATTGTTTGGCATTAGCTAAAATTAAAACTAAAAAAGATCAAGATTGTTAAATGTAGAAGACGATATGAGAGTAGCATTGTCATTTTTACGACCAAATATAAATGAAATTATCAAAAAACATCAAGCTCAAATTTCGCATTAAAAACATTTTTATTATTAGCTTGTAATTAATCCCTTAATAAACGTTTAGTTATTATTGTAATATATATTAGTTTATTTCGTATATTTAAAATTTTTATCATAAACTATTTATGCAGTGTGTTGTAGTAAGTAAATAATTTTCTTTGTGTGCCGCCAAATTTTGAAATCGTTTAATATGTGCCGCAACAAAAAAAAGGTTGAGAATCACTGCTCTACTGTATACTTAAGAACAATAGCGACAAACATAATCTTTAAAAAGACGTTTGAGATTTTTTGAATTAAATTGGGTATAGATTAGAATTATGGAATTTATTATGGCTTTTCGGCTATAAAACACCATTGAGATATGTGATATTTATAGAGATAACTTTAGTACATAAACGATCCCCGAACAACATAGGCCAAAAATTAAAAGGCTATATATATATAAGACTAAAAGTTTTGAAATCAATCAAACAAATATTAATAACGATTACAAAAAATAAATATAAGAGGAATGATATATTTTGAAAAGCAAATAAATAGTAGATCATACATGTGTGTACACAGGATGAAATGCTCCTATCTTACGGAAAACCACCCATTCCTGAAGTTAGCACCGATAAAGATGGAAAAGATGTACGATGACCCCGAAGTCATCGTGTTCCACCAGGTGATGAGTGACGAGGAGATCGAGCACATTAAGAATCAGGCCAAATCTAAAGTAAGTGGTTATTTAATAAGCATTAAAGGTACGTTATTAACATATTTATATAATTTTCATCAATATTCAACTCATGGCATCTGATCTCCTTGCTAAGCGCGACTCGCTCGCGAAAGTGAGTCCTAATAAGTTCTACGTACTAATCTAGATAGAGTTTGCCAACGAGGATAGGGTATCTCCACGTCAAAGTCTCCAGAAAACCGGTATCGTGACTCAATTGTTTGCATTACGAGCATAGCTTCTAATAAATAAAAATTTATTAGGGAGAGAATTCCTATGATTCGATGCACTCGTCGAGCAAACTGATTTCAAATGCCTGTGCTGACACAAATAAAACTGTTAATTACAACGTGTAAGTAAGTGCTGACTCCTGAGCACCTGGCTCAACAGTGAAGGAAAACTTCGCAAGGAAATCGTAATAATAATGAAATAAATATTTCAAAAATATGTAAAATCTGCCAATCCACAGTGCGTACACTTCGTGACCTATGCCCTATACCTTCTGTCTAGAGACCTTTTCCTGGCAGTGGATGTCTACTGTATTTAGGCTGTTACTTTACTTTTACTTTTATTACCCATAGTACAAGCTTTGCATAGTTTGGGACTAAACGTTGTGTAAAAATATGTCCCGAAATATTTATTTATTTATCGTAATAAACTTGTACAAGTATAGATCAAGCAAAAACTCAGCACCAGAGTGAAGTTGACTTTGTAAGATATATTACACCATTAAGTCATTTTCATAGGCGCATTTCAGTTTTACCAACCAAATTTACCAAATTTACGCGGCTTCATGCAACTGGGTTAGACTGGCCTTGGTAGAAATCAGTCTAACAGAGCACTTGAAGAAAATAATGCAAAATTTTCCTGTAGCTCACTCGTGCCGGGGTCAACGACCCGGCCACAGGGCAGGCAATTGCTGCACCCTATCGCATCAGCAAGACAGCGTGGCTTCACGACGATCTGTCACCGGTGGTGGCACGCGTGTCACAACGTGTTTCCGACTTTACGGGGCTCACCATGAGCACCGCAGAGGACCTGCAGGTGGTCAACTACGGCATAGGCGGCCACTACGTGGCGCACTTCGACTATTACCGGGCAAGTATTTGAATAAGGTTGTCTCTTCATAGCTACAATAAAAGGCGCTCAAAGTTAAATGTCCCTATGAAGGCCCAACTAAATTCATTAGGATAGCATCAGAAAGATTACATGCAGGGCTACACATAAGCCTTTTAAAATAAACGTACGCATCAAAACTGAGGCACTGACATTACGCAATTGCTGTAATTAAATTAGACTGCAGTCTATCAGTCAGTATAGTATATTATGGTGTAGCATGTATAGTGTGTAAATATTAGCAGTCTATAGAAGGTTCTATAGATTGCTATCTCCATCCGTATCCATACGTTCTATATCATCTGTCATATTCACTTAAATTTCGTAATATAATGAATAATTTTTAAACGCCGCACAGTATAGCCATGCGTCATCTTTAGGTACTAATAAACATCATTAGTGTTCATACGAGCATCTAAGCTTTTCATAGTTCAACATGTCGTACAAATTATAGAAGTAATTTTTTATGATAAGAGCATCAAAATTTATAAATAAGCAAATGAATATTGAGCCATTTTAAACCTCACCAGCGGTTGCCAAAGCAATTACTACTATTACTAAGGACTACTTTGTCACATAAAAATTTTTTTGTTAGCTTTTTCTATAATCTAATTAATTTTATTGTACTTTTATGATTCTTTTTATTACTCATATTTACTTCCTTAGTAAAAATTAAAACTAATAAGTGTGAAAACTTGTAAGTGCTTTAAACCACTTAATTATCTTTGTTAATAGCTTTAAGTTCACCAAATTAAATATGCTATTTTATTTCTTCGATTTGTGTTGGGTTTATACGTATTTCTCCCTCTTTCTCTCTCTGCGTTATATTTTTCTTGTCTCTTTTGTACTCTGCCTAAACTTGACACGTACTTGATATTTCTATTTCAATCTTAATGTTCATTACACCGAATCGTCGAAGTTTCCCATCAAAATATGGATAATTAAATAGTTATAGTACACAATTAATCGTATTTATGATAAATTTATCAGCACCAGCGAATCTCATGCTTCGTAACTCTTAAATTATTTGTACTAATAAATTAAGGACTGCGTTACGCTGGATGAACCGATGTAGTTTCTGAAAAGAATTCTTTTTTTCAGGATGCTGACTCCACTTTCCAACCCCCAAGTGGACAGCGAATTGCTACGGTCTTGTTCTATGTAAGTACATAGCCTGTGTCAGAAGTGTTTACTGAGTTAAGCTAAGCTGTACACACAACTTAAATCTGACAACAACTTCTAAAGAAAAAAAAAAGGAAAAAGTAGTGGACCGAATTATGAATCTATTCTCGAATCTACCTGAAGATACAAAAAATTTCATTAAAATCGGTCCAGCCGTTTAGTAGGAGTCAGTGACATACACACGTACGGAAGAATTATATGCATATACAGCGTGTCGTTACAACCGCGACAATAAATGAACACACATATAGAGGATAACTTTTTAAAATTGTATTTAGCATTTACATTCTTTAAACATCAATATTTACCGAGTTATTAAATTTTACAAAACAAACAGTTTTAGAACATCCTTACATATAAAATTCATTTGTAAAAGTCACAATGCATATGGACAGTTTGAATGAATTTTAAAGAGATAAAACATACTGTTAGAAGGAGAGACTTGTAATGCGACGTTGTGGCAACGAATGAAAAAGTCTCTAAATGTATGAATCAGTCAGTTGTAGTTGTACAAGATTTTATAAATTTTGTTTCTTTTTATTTAATTAGTTTGTTTAAAAAATATATTTTTTTAATTATGGATTTTTTAATGTTTTATATTTTTTTATGATTATTATTAAGTAGCGTTAGACGTGTGTTCATTTATTGTCGCGGTTTTAACGACACGCTGTATAAAGATATATGTATACATAAGTCTTGTTTACAGTACACAGACTTCGCACACTCGTCTAGCTAGATGGTGACTCGCTTCTCACCTCGTCCCCATTATAAAATAACATTAAAATGATTTTACAAAACTTCACTATCAGGAGCAGTAATAAACTCGTCACATCTTAACGTTTTGTACGTCTATATCTGCTTAGGGTGTCTAAATCTGCTGTCGTAGATGTCGGAAGTGGCGCAAGGCGGGGCGACGGTGTTCACCGACCTCGGCCTGAGCGTGTTCCCGATAAAGAATGCGGCCTTGTTCTGGATGAATGTGCTCCCCTCGGGCGAGGGTAACGAAAGGACCCGTCACGCCGCCTGCCCTGTGCTGCGCGGCTCCAAGTGGGGTACGTCTCACAGGCAAACTGATACATTTTAGACTTTATTCATTAAGTATTTAAACACACCCTACGCATTATTCAAAATACATGACGATAAAGTAAATAATAGCACATTAATAGGTAAATAAATTTGACGACCCGAATGGCGTAGTGGGTAGTGTACCTGCCTTACCAGAGGGTGTGGGTTCGATCCCCACTACTGGAAAAATATTGTGTGATGAGCATAGTGTTTTTCTAGTGTCTGGGTGTTTATATATGTATAATGTGTATTTATTTACAAAAGAAAAGTACGTTTAAGTATTTCTATCAGTTTTCTAATACCCATAGTACAAGCATTGCTTAGTTTGGGACTAGAAAACGTTGTGTAAAAAATGTGTCCTAAAATATTTTTTTATTTATTTATTTAAAAGAAAAAAAAAAGCATTTACAACTATATTATAGAGCATTCGTTAAAAACTAAGGGGCATATTATAATATCAAATATCCTTGATCATACATATTTTTATATGATACAATGTATCTGTGTATTACATTATCGTAGTTCTTTAATTCTATTTGACGTCATAGGCGGTCGTAATATAGAACGCATCGGTATGGCTATAAGGGTCGCATGTGAGTGGTAGAATAGAGTCATTCCGCTTCGTGCTCTCGTACGGAACGGACGTCTCTCTAAGACGGAGGGCATATGCCACCCGAATTAGACGCCACTCGCAACCTCGGTTGCAATTTAAATCTTGTGCAAATAGTGCAGTAGCTTAGTGTTAGTGTAGTGTTGTTCTCGTAAGCCGGTTCCTGTTCAGTAAGTAGAATTCCACGCACACTTCTCGCCTCAGAGGCAACATTGTTTAATTTATTATTATTTACTGTGTGCTTGTTGCAATAGGCGACAGCTAGGTACCCACTCTAGCGCACCTAAAGCGCAGGCGAATTAGCTGTTATTTTTAGGCACACTCCTCCCTGCCGCAAGTTGGGGAGGCTTATTTAGCTCACACACGCCGGTGGGGCTACAAGCCCCAAAGGCCCTTACGTCGCGATGGGCTCCCTTTTCGAGGAGTTCGTACGCAGAGAATGCCCCGCTATGTGGGAACGTTATCTTGCCTATGCAGCCGAGCATAGGCAAGTAGCTGAACTCGCGCCGCCGCCATTGCCCGCGCCGTCTGCGTCTGTTACCCCGTCGCCCTCCGCGACCTTAGAAGCCCCCGTCGCGTCGGCATCCGCTAACGCGAACCCGCCCGTAGCACCTTCCGTTCAACCAAACCCGACCTCTTTTTTTGTCCTCACAATCGGACGGTGGATCGGACATGGAGGTCGAAACGACCCCCGCTGAAAACGCGAACGCCGACGGCTTCACCGTCGTTAAATCGCGTAAAAAGGGCAAGAAACGCCCCGCTACCGACAGCGACCCCGAATGCGAGGCCGCCTCAACGATCCGTCCAACCGCGACGCCCGCTAAAAAGGCGGCCGCGGCGGCAAATCCGATGCCCGAATTCGCCTCCGAGCGAAAAATAAAGCCTCCTCCACCCATCATCATTCAGGAGAAGGCTAAGTGGCACCAAATTTGTTCGTGGTTTGAACGCCACAATATCCGCGACCCCCGGTCGAAAAATACACAAATGGGTATCCGCGTATACCTTGACACAACGGATGATTTCCGCCGCGTAACGAAATACTTGCGCGAAAATAAGATAGGTTTTCACACCTACTCGTTGCCCGAAGAACGCAAGCTTCGGGTAGTTATCAAGGGCGTCCCCAAAGAGTCGGATGCCGACAAGGCGAAAACCGACATCCGCACTCAGGGATACCCTGTGCATGCCGTCCGGCGCCTCAGACACCCCAGAACCCGTGTCCCTATGGGCATGGTGATGGTTGAACTTGACCCTACCCCGGAAGGTAAGTCCATCTTCAACCTGAAGAGGGTCTGTGGGCTCAGTGACTTAGTCATCGAGCCCCCGCGTAAGTCAGGTGTTGTGGCACAGTGCCACAACTGTCAGCATTTTGGCCACATGGCCAATAACTGCTTCGCTCACCCAAGGTGCGTCAAATGCACCGGTAACCACGGCACTACCGAGTGCACGCGGCCGATAGATTGCGCAGATCCACCGGACTGCGTAAACTGTAACGCCACGGGCCACCCGGCTATCTACAGAGGCTGCGCTAAGGCCCCGAAAACTCCCGCGAGGAAATCTCCCGCGAAATCCACGTTGCCCAAACCCGCGCCCGTTATATTCATTCCCGCGCCCGTACCCGTCACAAACGCCTGGACGAAACCCCAGGTGGCCGCGCAGGTAACCGCGCCGGTAATCCCAGTCGCCTCACGACCGATCGCACAACAGCTGCCCGCCTCTCAAACGGCGCCGCGGCCGCAGGTGCAGCCAACTCCGTCAGTTTTCGCGGAAAACAAGGACGACCCATTCGCGCAAATCGCTAATATTTGCAGCTTATTAGATAGGATCAATAGGCAGGAACTCGCCGTATTGTCCGCTAAAATAGCGGCCGCCACATCTGGCCACGAGCGTCTTAGGGCAATTAGCCAACATAAAACGCTTGTGGAAGCCCTTTGGGCTTACGAGCCAACCGTAAAAGACAATAGTCCGCGCAATTAAACCGCGCTCCGCCGCGTCGTTAATTAGACCCATAAAAACACCTTAATGGGAAGTACAACCGCAGGTAGAACAAAACCTCGGGCTCTGGTTGTTTCGCATTTCAACGCAAACGGCATAAAGGGTCAAAGGGACGAAATCGCGGAATTCCTTCGCGATTATAACGTAGATATTTTACATATTTACATTCTTGAAACCTAGTGTACGCGATCCCAGAATCGCAAATTACAATATTGTCCGCCACGACCGGTTAGCAAACCGTCTGGGAGGCACACTAATTTATTATAAACGGTCCTTGCACTGTTGCCCGCTCGACATTCCAGAGCTAAGTCAAATAGAGGCATCCGCGTGTAGGTTAGCGCTCACCGGCCACAGGCCGCTTGTACTAGTCTCAGCCTACCTCTCGGGGAACAAAACCTTATTACAAAGCGACCTAGATACGCTACTCAACTTAGGCCCTTCCGTGATAATTGCAGGAGATCTAAACTGCAAACACGGCTCATGGGACATCCACAGCATCCCAAATAACAACGGAAAGCATCTCTTTAGCTTATCCGATAATTTAAACTTTAGCATAATCGCTCCTACGACTCCCACTAGGTATCCTACGGTGGACCAACATGCGACACCGAGTATCCTAGATATCATGTTATTCAAGGAGATCTCGCTCGACATCGAGTCGATAGAGACAATCCACGAACTAGATTCAGATCACAGGCCCGTCCTGTGTAAACTGGGCCAGAACGCCGGCGCGGTCCCTCCGACCAAATCCGTAGTGGACTGGCATCGTCTTGAGATCAAACTCAAGGCCTTGGACCCCCAGGACTTAATCGAACTGCCCGAGACGATATCTACGTTCGATGACGCAAATCGAGCGATAGCAAGTCTCCGAGAAACCATTATGCCAGTCCATTCCCCTTTTATGCCAGTGAGTTATGTGATGTTGTACTGTTTGCTGACGACACATCGCTTATTTTTAAGGTTGACCGAAATGTATCGAATTATGACGACGTGAATAGTGCACTTTCGCGTATCCTCCACTGATTTACCATTAATAATATGGTGTTAAATGCTAAAAAAAAACCAAATGCCTTCTTTTTGCCCTTCCCAACGTAAGAAGGCGAAGTTTTAGCTTAAAATTGAATAGCGTAACCCTTAATCCTGTTGAGTCCGCTGTATTCTTGGGAATCACAGTAAATTCAAAGCTCCAATGGAGTCCCCATCTATCATCTCTTGCGAATAGGTTAAACTCCGCTGTTTTTGCAATTAGGAAGGTTAGGCAGCTATCAGACATCGACACTGCCAGACTTGTTTACTATAGTTATTTTCACAGCATCTTGTCGTACGGCATTTTGTTGTGGGGTAGTGCATCTGATATAAATTCAATATTTATTATTCAAAAAAGGGCTGTCCGAGCAATTTATAACATCGGAGCCCGGAATACACTCAGAGATCTTTTTAAAGAGATTAATATACTCACTGTTGCGTCTCAATATATTTATTGTAATATTTTGTATGTTAAACAGAATATTAATAATTATCAAAAGAATAGTGACAGACATAAACTAAATACTAGAAATAAGGACAAACTAACTACGCCATTATTTCGCCTACAAAAAGTAAACAGGTCGTTCATGGGGCAAAGTGTGCGCATGTATAATAAAATCCCACAGTCGATATTAAGTCTGCCACTTGATGAATTTAAACGAAAAATTAAAAGTAAACTTATGGCTAAAGCCTATTATACTATTGCCGAATATCTTGACGACGCCAATGTGTGGGGTTAATACTGTTGATACTCACGTAGGCTAAAACAAGACTATTGTACCTGTACTATTATATTGTAAACTGATTTTTTAAAAAAAGAGCAACTGTTGAGTTTCTTGCCGGTTTCTTCTCAACAGAAACTGCTTTCCGAACCGGTGGTAACTTACGAACGTGTTAATTTCTTGTAAAATTTTGACGTTTCATGAGAACGCGCAAGCGTCTATGTGAATAAAGATATTTTATTATTATATTATTATTATTACTTCCGCAGTCACAGACTCGGAACGGACGGTGGAACTGTCGGGCGACCGACGGTTTAACTTTCCGCCCGACCTAAGACTGCTAATTAGACAGAAAAATGCAGCCAAACGCGCCTTCGACCGATAAAGATCGGAATCGAAACGAACCCTACTTCGACGCCTTCAGCTAGAAGTCAAAGATCGTGTATCGGAACACCAACATACAACGTGGGACACTCTCCTAGAGGACATCGAGCCATCGCACACCGCCTACTGGCGGTTGGCCCGCAGTCTGAAAGCAGACCCCCGCGAATCTCTACCGCCCTTAATTAGACCTAACAGACAAAACGGTTCTTCGATAGAGCCGAACATCATCCCAACCCTCTGGTGGTAAGCGCCACCGCCGGTGGTCCCGCCGGATAACACTACACCCACAGCTAGTGTACCAACAAACACAATAGTTCGCCCTCGCCTCCGAGCACGGCGAGACCAACACAACGCGTACACAAGGTACACCCGCGTTCCAGGGCGGTTCTCACCGCCCGCAGCCACCGATTAGCTAAAAACACAGTCGACGGCCATCGGGGTCTCGGTCCGCACCGCAACTTCGATGGCCCTTAGATGACATGTCATAGTTAAACGCACGCATGAGCACATGCGCGGCCCTACCCACAGCGGAGGGCCCAAACCCGTGGGTTCTGGCTAGCCCACCGGTTCTGCGTCAGATGAAGCTTTAATAGTCTCGGGACTGAAAGCAAAAACATCAGTTATAAAAAAAAAAAGGTAGAATAGAAAATATATATTAGATATAACTACAAAATGTCTATAAGAAGCCTGTTATTTTTACGTTGTTCTGCTAATAATAACGATTTTCTGTCGAAAGCTCGCTGACAGTGGCTTTTAGTATTTTTATAATTTATATAAATAATTTCTTGCACAGACAGTGTCAAACATACTAACGATATTATCAAAATTTGCTCGGGAATTAGGTGAAATAATTTAAATTTCAGCATTTAATGAGCAAATTAAAAACAATAAGCTCATACAAAAAGTTTGTAACACTAGTTATAACTACTTCCATACTGATCCAAAGGCAATCGCTTGCTTGTGTGCTCAGTGCAGTCTACTCTTTGAAACCTTTATTTAAATATAAGAGAGAGAACTATATAACTTTATTATAAAATTATTAAAACTTTCGTGACACATTGTTTACGTAATAATAAGACGGCTAAACTCATGTTAACCCGGTACATGTACCGACTAGTTTCGGACCCATCCTCCTCCCAGGTCCTTCATCAGGGTGAGTGTGATTGGTTCGAACTAACGTGAGTTTAGCCGTATTATTATTACGTAAACTTTATTATAATTAATTATCAACTAAATTTGTTACAGCATCAAATAAATGGATACATCAGATAGGTCAAGAGCTGCTTAAACCATGTAAGCTAGTTAGTTCAGAAAAGACTAACGTCAGAACAAAGCATAAACAGTAATAAATTTTAAAGTAATTTATAAGTCTAATACACTGGCTTCCAGCAAAATCAAAATCAAAGAAATGTTACCTACATTTCTTTGATTAATTGAATTGAAAATTCCTAATTGCGAAGTTACTTGTCTTACAATCATCTTTCGTATTGACAATAAATATACTGTAATTAAAAAGTCTACGATTTAAGTATTTTCTTTATTACCTTCAATAAAAATTTGTAAAAATGTTTAAACATTTATTGCATCCTATCCTATAATAAAAAGAGATTTAAGTGCACTAAGCGTATTATTTATTTAGTTTTTTATATTATACAATGTATATATTAATATACATTTTCGGTTTTGCGGGACTAGAACCTTCCGGGACTAGAAGCGTCCGGGTAACACGCTCTGGCGTAAAAATACTTATAAAGAATACAGTAAAGCAAAAGAACAATTTACATCATTAAAATATAAAACAAATGAAAAAATAACTTTAACAAATGAAAAATAACTTAAGCCAACAAAAAATATTGTACGCCCTATTCCGGTATGTATCGATTCTTGAACTCGTCTTAACCTCATCAATTGACGTGTTCGAGAAGGCTCGTAGGTGGAGCCGCGGATCTCATTAATCATTTCCTCGTCCAATTTGCACGGTGGGAGAGATTAATGGGTTACATGGTGGGTGGTGGATTACATGCAGTAAGGCGAGCATTGAAGCCTTAGTTGTTGGCGAAGCAATCAGTCTTTGCTACCATCAGTCATCGATGGAGCGTTCTCTGCTTTAAGGTTTCTCGCCAACTAACAGAAGACAGTGTGTATTGTCAAACCGAATTCCCAAAAGCATGGGGGATAGGGGTAAGGAGAACAAGCTTTGTATAAAAGCTGTCCACCGGGATGCGTTAAATTGGTGGTGCTGTTGTAGTATGTAGGTATTTGGCAGTGGTGATTATTCAATTGTTACTATGGTTGTATGCATAATACTGCAGTTTCATCAACTACTCTAGTCATCACAAATATTAAGTTCTTCAACTCACTTCACTCCGTCGACAATTGCTAAGTTCATTTCGTACACTCTAGTTACACTAGTGCTGTTGTGAAGTTTTTGAACTTACTGTTTACGGATAGACCTTTTTCAACTATTCTCCCAAGTCAAACGACTCTCCTTACCCCTACACTCAATACCAAAAGACTTCAGTACCGTAGACCACATACACATTGCAGTAGATTATACACAATACGGAGAAGTATACTCCGGCTTCATGTCTGGCATATGTAGACTATGAAAAAGCAGTTCGTAGATCACGCTAAATCTTTACAATATTTTGTGGGCGCCGGTACTAGAGTTTACGAAATTGAGACTGTTATTCACAGCTAAATGTTGGAAGCCTTCCTCTTCAAGTGTTCATAGGCTTTCAAACAGTCCACTAGTACAAGTTTCAATACTTTTTATGGAGATTTTTTTATTGCGTTGCGGCACTTGCATTCACATAAAATTAGTTGGCTTTATTTTGCCTTTGTAATGCCGCAGAAACCTCATTGGCCGTTTATAATTCTACCGCGATTATATTTATTTCGACAGAATCGTGTTTCATCAATTTCTACAATGATGTCTTTTCCGCCAATTGGGCGAGAATGTCTTTTTAAATAGTTAGAAAAAACTCGTGAACCAAGCTAGTACATCCACATAATTATGCTTTCTGATGAAATTATTGTTCATTAGAAGACATTCGGCCGCAAACGTTCATTAGAAAACATTGGGTAGCCCAAATACAAATTCATACATTGTTTGAAAATCTGTCTTGATTGGTAGAAGCAAAAGTTTTTAAAATTAAAGAATGTAAAATAATCACCTACGCTTATGTTTACATTTCAAATAAAATTTATCACACCTAAAATTATTCGTTTTAAACATACTTGAGTATATGTAAGAGTTTTTCATATCCAGGAGTGTTGGAGACATTTGTAACTTTTAATTTTTCATCATCATTTCAGATTGCAAACGCCCACTGCTGACTAGACTACACAGACTAATTCTTCAGCTATTTTACATATCCAGTGCGCCCCGCAGCAAGCAGACCTACCCATCCTCCTCTTCCCTTGCTTTACCAGCCGAACACCTAAAAGTTGATATTCAAGGTCCTAATATGAAACATATGGCCTGCTATTAAAAACCCTTAACTTATAGAAAAAATACAAGTTTTTATGATTTATCTAAGATGTTTAACAACATTGAATTATCATTGTTCATTCCCCTTAAAAACTTCTGTACCTGTAACATTAAATTTTCCATAGTAGTGGATCATGGTCTGCTTCACAGAATTTTTAATATTCAGTAAAATATGTTAACTCACTTGAAGTAGAAGCCACCATATTTGATACCATTCTTGTGTTATGTGGAGGTTTATTCTACCTATCTAACAATGTCTTTTTTGATACAGCCATTCCTGAAAGTGAAACAAATATTTTTTGCGCTTTATTTTAAAGGACATTATTAAAACTTTCATCAGACATTGTATTTCATTTGAATATTTTTTGTTGTATGTCAATATTGTCAAACTAAATGCAATAAAACTATTACAAACTTGCATATTACAATTTATATTGACATTGAAATGTCTATTTTGTCACAGGTACCTTATAGTAATTGTAAAGGTACTTTGTAGTAATTATAAATTAAACATACAAGAATGTGTTACATTCTTAACATTCTTGTGTTTAATTTTTTCTTATAATAAGACAGTAATATAATTGGCAAAACTTTAACTTTATTTAAAAAACAAATGAAATTCTGACTATAAAAAGGGCTTGGAGTGCGCTAGACGGCAGTTCAGTGGAGGAACTTGAGGAAGAAGGAACAGGAAAAAGAAGGAACAGGAAGAAGAAAGTGGAAAAATGAAGTAAATTGTGAGTAAACAGTCCAATCCACAAATCTGCAGTGGAGTCATATGATAAGACTATAGCATACCTACTACCCACCCTCTGGACAGAGGAGGCCTTTACTCAGCAGTAGGAGTATAATAGGCTGACACTTTACTTTTTTTACTTTCCCATAAATTTACCTTACCTGGCAAATTTAAAGTCGGAACAGCATTAGGGCTAAGAGATCTTGTCCATGTGTGATACTTGGTCTCAAAATGGTTGTGACACACTCTTCTTCTCTTATAAATAATTTGGTTATCTAATGATAATATGTCACCTTTCACAGCATATATCCAGGACCTAAATCGGTCAGGTTCTTTGTCAGGATTGGGAAAAGTATGTAATGTGATCTGGTCACCACCTAAAAATATTACTTAATTTATTTGTTTACAAATTATTTTAATGCAATATTGTCACCAAAACTGGTAGGTTTTATTTTAATATATCTAAAGATTTTTTATTATACACATTGTGAAGCAAACTTTGCAACTACAAAATCATTCCTATGAATTATATTGATCGAACTTCAATTGAAAAGTTCGTTAGATCATATAAAATACATTAAAATTGATTTGTACTTACGAGTAACATTACATTCTGGTACACAACATCTTTTCTCTGTCATATTTCAGATTCCAAATCATAAAATAGCAAAGTCCATACAGAAGCGCAAGAATAAGCATAAACAGAGGAATCGAAGTATGGAAAAAGGTTTTAGCTTGTTCACTTGTTGAAAAAAAAACAATACCAAGGGATAAAAACAGAAACAGATCGGGATATCGGACGTTGACAATGACAGCCGGCGGTAGGCATGGGCAAAAATATCTATTTATTTATAAAAATATCGACATTTTTCCATACTTTTTTTAAAATGTATATACGTAACAAATTCCATAGAATAATATGTTTAAATGAGGCCTAGGCCAAGGAATTCCCAAAAACTGCCCAGAACAAATGTTTTCAAAAGCCTGTTCAAGATTGGCGAAATAATCAAAGTAGGACAATACACTGCTACAAGAACCATCCTTGTGCCTTTAATACCCAATTCCAAAAATAGATATTCAGCTGAAGCAGATCAATGGGAGAGGGATGCTAATAAAATTTTGTATTTTAGAGTAGAGAAAAATATATCGAAATCGAATCAATTTCAATATATTTTTACTACAACTATGGTTTCGTCTCTAACTACTAGATACTCTTTACTTAAAAATATCCCGCTACAATCTTTATAAAATACAATATAACAGTAAGACTATTGCCTGAGTACACCAGAATACCAATATCATTAAATGATCAGTATGAGAGGTATAATATAACTCTGAAGTTAAGAGACAACCCTTTACTGCATGAATTATGAATAAAATGATGAAAAAATTATTGGATGGCAGTTTTAAAATTAATTACAATCACGAAATTAAAAACACTCATAAAAACTGAAAAGAAAAATTATGTTATATATGGGTTCATATGCGCCCAAACAAATTTTAAATGAAATTACTTTGGACATAATTATATGGGTTCATATGAAGTAAAGAAAGGATTAGAAATTTTAGTTTTAATAATAATATAAATTACCACTGTAATTTTAATCATGAAATGCCGACAAACAGTTTCGTTTGTCGTTGTAACATAAGAGAACCATACATTTGCACATGGTGTAAGTTTTGTGGTCGCAAATAAAACATTTTTGGCATTCAGGCAAATCATCAAAATTCAAAAATATTTTATGATTTGTATGTCTTTTTAATTTTTTTGGTGTGGCTAGTGGAGGGTCATTTTTGTTATCAGTGGAATAACTATCTGTTTCGAGTATAACAAGAGATCTTCTTTGAGTGACGTTGAAATTCTTTAGATAGAATTTTCTATCAGAATAGGAAGCTAAATTCATCACCACTTTGTAAGCCATCACCAGGATTAACATACTTATTAGAGTCATAAAAGCGAGCAGGATCCATTCTGCAACCAACGAAAATTAATTTCATGCTTATAACAAAATATTACAAGCACATATGAAACCTTATTTGATTCCGCAGTAAAACGGTTAGTTTAGGTTAGAATGCATGCGTAACCTATATATGGTTTCACGCAAAAAGCCATCAAATGTAATAGAAATAAGAAAAAGTATCAAACAAATAAAACATACATATTATATAAGAATAACAACATTATACCTATTTTAATTTTTTAACCAACGAATCTTGCCTTTTTTGTGTAGAAAAACGAATTTGAAAAATGAGTTACAACCACTGTGTCGAACTTCACTTCCGCGCTTACAAAAGTGAAGTTTTAACTAAATTAATGTATTGACAATAGCCAACAAAAATGTTTTCGTATTTTTAACATATTAAATACAATGTAAACAATGCGATTAGTTATTGTTCATGCATCCTTACATAAAGAAAAATACTGGATCTGGTGAACCATATATGGATCGCTATGCGGTAAATGGTTAATAACTTTCTCATTTTATTTTTCAACTATTGGAACGAAGTTCCTTACGGCAGGCTTGGAGGGGATAGGGATTTTGCTGCGCGACCGAACTGAAAAAAATGTGATAGTAAAACCGTAAGTAAAAATCCGTGGAATAAAACCGTTAAAAGAGACGTGCGCAGGCGCGACAGTCGCATAATTTTATGTTGTCAAACAAAAATAAAGAGACATATTTTGTTATTGGAATTGGAACGAAGTTCCTTACGGCAGGCTTGGATAGGGATTAGGGATAGGCATTAGGGATAGGGAATAAAGAGACATATTTTGTTATTGGAATTGGAACGAAGTTCCTTACGGCAGGCTTGGATAGGGATTAGGGATAGGGATTTTGCTGCGCGACCGAACTGAAAAAAATGTGATAGTAAAACCGTAAGAAAAAGTGCGTGGAATAAAACCGTTAAATGAGACGTGCGCAGGCGCGACAGTCGCATAATTTTATGTTGTCAAACAAAAATAAAGAGTCATATTTTGTTATTTTAGTTGATAATTTGAATTACGATGTTTTTTTATTTTAAGTAATTTATTATTTCCTAAAATACTGAATTTCCTAAATACTTTCTTGTACTTAAATGAAAACTAATCAGCAAAATTTAAGAGAAAAATCAAGAAAACCTACATAAAATTGAGCACGATTTTTTTTTGCAATTTGTGTCGATTCTACATTAGCCGAAGGAACTTCGTTCCTACCTGGTGTCCCACGACACCACATCATTTTTTTTTATTCATGTCTATTTATTTTAACGAATTTTGAATAGTTTGGAAATATGTATCTATACTATTATATAAAGAGGAAAGATTTGATTGCTTGTATGTATTGAATAGGCTCCGAAACTACTAAACCGATTTGAAAAATTCTTTCACTGTTGAGAAGCTACATTATCTCTGCTTGACATAGGCTATATTATATTTAAAAAAAATTTGGGATCCTTACTAAACCTCCAATAATGTTACTCAAGGTATACAAAAATTACTTAGTATATTCTGTACATCGCGTGCGCTGCGAAAACTATTGATGATAGAATAAAATAATGTACTACGACTTTGCAGAACACATCATTATTTACAAAAAGTGTCGCGACAGCATAAATCTAACTATTATAGTTATGCCACAATAAGTGTTCTTTTATTTTAAAATTTTGATTGAAATGCCGCCGCTAACAAAGGCTGTTTATTTGTAACTTGGTATTAATCCTTATAAAAATAAATTACTTCATATTTAAGACTGTTTCAATACCTTTATAAAACTTTAATTATTAAATTCGGACATTCCATTCCTTAGATATTGCAAGTTTAAAAATGTTAGTATATTGTAATTTAACTATCCAAACAGCTTAGTGACTGACTTAGTAGTTCTTATAATTTTTCAATCACATTTATAGTGGTAATTCCTGTTCAACAGTTTAATTTATTTTATCATTCTAAATTGCCCAAAAGGTCAAGATCTCATGTTTCCAGAAATAGTTCCCATCAAAAATACGTCGTAATGAGGAATCTTTACCGGAAACTGAAAATCGTCTTACAAGTCGGAGAGAGTCAAGTAGAGTGTTTGCAGTGGCTTGAAGAGTATAATAATATAAATATACAAATTCACACTAGGAAATCGAGGTCTGAGCGTTCCCAACGTACAAGACATTAGAGAGAAAGATAACAAACGTCAACGACTAGAGTTCGTAATCGAGTTTTAGCTTACAGTAACAGATCAGCTTTCATGCATTTTGCTCAACAGTCTTCCGTCAGAATCGTAGCCAAGAATAAGATCTGCTCTAAGTGTTCTGCCAAAAATGGGTCGATGAACCAAATGGTATGTGCTGTGCTTCTAGAAAAGGTAGTCTCCCCAATATTGAGGAGCCGCCACAACCAATAAAAAATCTTTTTACAAATAATCATTCACCATCAGGACATTTTTAACCAACATCCGAAAGTACAATAGCCTCGTTCAAATGACTTCGTTTGACGCGAACTTTTAAAATAGAGGGACAAGTATACAAGTTATCATTATCCTCATGCCCCTATCCCATTTAGGTGGGGTCGGTACAACATGAATCATGTTGTAAGCGGTTTTGGCTATATTTTTACAACCAGCCGCTTGCTTGACGTCAACCTCCCTTGGGAAACAAATACCCAGATCAAATTTAAACTGTGTAACTATCATGGTTCATGAGATACAGCCTGTTGACAAAGGGACAAACAGACAGCGGAGTCTTAGTAATAGGGTCCCGTTTTACCCTTTGGGTATGGCATCCTAAAAAGGCCCCAGAGATATAGTGTTGCACGGTAGACACGGCCAACTTAAAAGGGTCTCTGAGTTACACCGATTGTATGATCCATAAAAATATCCCTTAATAGTCGTAATAGGAGAAGACGGCTAACATTTGTCTATTCCTCAACAAGGTACTCTGCGTAACAAAACTGTGACATGCATGCAATTGTATGCATTTAGGTTGATGGTTAGAGCTACCTGTTTTAATCCATTGCATTATTACTAGGACTTAGTAGGGTTCCGTACCCAAAGGGTAAAACGGCACCCTATTTCTAAGACTCCACTGTCCGTCTGTATGTCCGTATATCTGTCCATATGTCACCAGGCTGTATCTCATGAATCGTGATAGTTAGACAGTTGAAATTTTCACAAACGATGAATTTCAAAATATCAGATATTTTCAAAATCCTCTTTTGTTTCCAGTCTTGAATGGTAGTATCTTTTTCTAACAATGGCTTGATGGGCTTGTCCATCTTTGAAAATGTCTTTGCAGCTGTCACTTTTGCTCAAAACTGGAAAATCTCCAAAAATATAGATATTTCTGGGCCCATAACCTCTTGAATGGTGGATGTGACTCATGGGATCGCTCTCAAACCGAAAAGAAACTTAAGGAGTGATAAGAAAACTATTTATTTGAACTTAAACATTTTGAACTTATTTTAGACCAAACGTAATGATTATGAAATTTATATAAAATACAGGAGTTATATCAGATAGCTATACATGTTTCATCTTCAAACGATTTTTACGGAATCTTATCAAACATGTCATGTTTGATAAGATTCAGTCTGAACAAATAAAACTAACATTCCAAATTTAATTTAAAGTAATTCAAACATTAATACATAAACCAAACAGGTCAGAGTTGACATCAA